AAGTTACCTTTCCCATCACTGGTATCCAAGTCAATAACGGGAATTTCAAAGACTTTTTCAACTTCGTCCTCCGTGGAACCAAGGCAAAGATCGACCTCAGCGTCATCCAAGCGTTCCTTGTACGAGACAAGTTTCGACTTGTATGTTGCAATGCCGCTAGGAATAAGGTTTTCTGGATAATTGGCGCTGTCAATATAAGATTCCTGCAGTTCCACCGGTAGTGGGTACATTGTATGCCTATTTAACACTAGCGCAAAGATACGTAACTGTGAATTATGATTATCAACAGAGAGGTATGAGAGAAGGACATGGTATTTGAAGAAGGATGTGCCCTCAGCGAGGCGCAGCAAATCTGCCTTGTGGCGCGTAGTTTACATGTGGGAAGGCGCTCTAGGGGAATCAAGACCCCGCCCCTGTGCACCCAAGGCCGCCTCCTCATTGGTGCCAAAGCTTCTACTGATACACAAGATGCAAGCGACTGCATCACATGGGTACTTTCGACTAAAAGTCACGCGCCGACATTTTGAATCATACTATGCAGATGAGACTCGGCCTTGCTCTTGTTGGAACTTTCGTTCCTCTGGCTCTGGTGACACAGAGGGCGATCTCGTCCGCCCAGACACATCTCTTCGCTTTCTCAACTCTCTCTTCTCCCCCTGAAACCAAATTAGCCACGCGCTCGCGAATACTAGGCAATACAATCACCTCGGTCAGCCTCTCAGGCACCTCAAATAGCCAATTGCCATTGAACTGGGAGGCTTATCAGTCCGGTTTCTTGCAACCTAGTATCCAGACACAACATACAACTCTTGGTTTGAAATCCCAGTTCGGCCATTTAGTTTTCAAGTATTCTTCAATCTTGTCCCACCCAAAATCGTCATATGCAGTAAACGTTTCTTGGACTCGGCCGCTCCATTTTGCAGATGGAAGCTCAGGCTTGCGTTGAGCTTGCCTCGCGCGCTCCAACTCCGGGTCAGCAGCTCGACGAAATGGTGGCATCTGGATGTTTCTCTTTTCTTGCGGGTTGATTGTGGCGCACGTTCAGGCAGAATAAATCAGCGGTGCTTGTGATGCATGCACCCGGTGTTGGAAACCCGGGCGATAGGCTGACAACTGCGGCTGTGTATCTTCAACGTGCTCCCTTGCAACTCTGCGAGTGGAAGGCTGAAGGCGAAACTATATGCTTCTGTGTATGAGCGGCCTCAGCCTTATGACTCATCCAGAAAGCATCTGGCAATGCGTGCAACTGCTCTGAGGAGGATGCAAAAGCGCATTTCTCATGCAAGATGCATCACATCTGTGAGTGGCGATTGCGCGACTTTGCATGATGGGTTTCATGCAAAGCTGAGAAACTGTCGTTCAGCTGAGACGCCACGGCTGACCGGTTTAGTTTGCCTTTTTGCCTGTTACGAGCGGTAGTGCATAACCTCACTATTGGTCACTGTTACACATGGTGTAGCCGCATGCATTTCTTAATCACTCGCAAGCGACGCTCTTTTTTATGGCAAAATCAAAATGCTCAGAGCATAGATGCATTAGAACAAAGTCCATGATTGGTATTGCGAAACCGTTGCTTGTTCATCGCCGAATCGAATGACACTTAAAGGATAATAGAGGATATGAATCCAAAATACTGCAAAGGTGAAGCAGATTGGCGAATGAGGGTGGATGATGATGTATTGATATGCCGCGTGGCTGTCGAGGCGATCCGCGGAAGAACCATATCCGAGAAGGTACCGGTGTGCCAAAGCCCGAGCAGAAGCTACACAGCATGTAGAGGTTGTTCATAGCGACTATGAACCCATATCGCCCAAAGCCACTATTTATACAAGTCCGTATATCCTTTACTTAAGTTCCCGATGCGCCAGAAAATACAGAAGAGTCCTGCATGGTTGAGACCACGATAATAGAAGCAAGGAATCTTTTATGGCGATACGCACTGAACTACACTAAGGACCCTTGCTCCCGAGTCGTTGTATGTTCTTAAATACAGAAGATTGGCAAAATATTGAGTGGTCTCCGGAAACGAAGTTCCTGGAGTAGCCTCGAGCTGGAAAGATATGATAAAAGCCAAACCATCGTGGCGTATGCAGGAAATGTACTCACGCTACAAATCTCAAGAGAAAGGAAAGAATAAACAAAATGAATCTAGGGAAACTAATAAAAACATATTCGATGAAATCCTCCAAACAGGAATGACCATTGTAGAACCGAATAACGCAAGGCTGAAAGAGCTAGGCACAGGGTACTGAGAAAATCTAGGGGGCTTCATAATGGAGTTTACCTGAGCGGAGAGATAGGAAAGTGATAGAGAAGTTTCACAGGGCAGTAAGTCTAAGATCTGACCAGCGAGAAGTTTTTTCCACGGTCGGCATCGGCTTGAAGTCGATCAAGCGCGATATATTGTTGTTGAGTCGGAAGGTGGTAGCACATCCGTATACCAAGGCAAAAGCATTCACAACTATTCCAAGGTTAGACGTTTCTACTGGGTAGAAGCAGTTACTTTACTCAATTGCATCGATTCTTGAGATGTGATCAAGGGCAATGTGAGGCTGTAGGCGGAGCGACGGTATTAAAGCCGAGGCTAGTGATGGTGTGGTCCGAGCGTCGACTTCTCGATGATTCCTTGGAATTTTCTACACATATGGTAGCGTCCATTTCTTCTCCACAATCCCCCTCTGTACCCAATCTCTCTTCTCGGTTGTCTTGCATTGAGCTGGAGTAGGAGTATTGTTTGAGCTTCACCACCGCCACCTACACATTTCAATTCCATCACAATGCAAAGAGCTTTCGCTTCGCGGGCGCGGACTTCGGCCCTAAATTCGACCTCTAAGCTTCGCACCACCAGCTTGAACCTCCAGCAACAGAGATTTGCGCACAAGGTATGTTGTCGCCAGATGCACTCTTCAATTGACTAGCAGAAACTAACTCATGTACAGGAGCTCAAGTTTGGCGTCGAGGCACGAGCAGGACTGCTCAAGGGTGTCGACACACTGGCAAAGGCCGTATCAACAACACTTGGTCCCAAGGGTCGCAACGTATTGATCGAGTCAAGCTATGGCTCTCCCAAAATCACCAAGGGTATGCATACGTTTGGCCGTCTTTTCCCGAATCGTCCGCTGACAGAGCTTCAGATGGTGTAACTGTCGCAAAGGCCATTACCCTCCAAGACAAGTTCGAGAACCTTGGAGCCCGCCTGCTTCAGGATGTTGCCAGCAAGACCAACGAAGCTGCTGGTGACGGAACCACTACCGCTACTGTCCTTGCCCGCGCCATCTTCTCCGAGACTGTTAAGAACGTTGCCGCTGGATGCAACCCAATGGACTTGAGGCGGGGTACTCAGGCCGCCGTCGAGGCCGTTGTCGAATACCTAAAGGCAAACAAGAGGGACATTACCACCAGCGAGGAGATTGCACAGGTCGCCACTATCTCTGCCAATGGCGACACACACATTGGCAAGCTCCTGTCCAACGCAATGGAGAAGGTCGGAAAAGAAGGTGTCATCACCGTCAAGGAAGGTAAGACCACCGAGGACGAGCTGGAGGTCACTGAGGGTATGAAGTTCGACCGTGGTTACATCTCCCCTTACTTCATCACCGACACCAAGACTGCCAAGGTCGAGTTTGAGAAACCTCTCATCCTCCTTTCCGAGAAGAAGATTTCTGCTGTCCAGGACATTGTCCCCGCGCTTGAAGCTTCCCAGCAGCTCCGCCGCCCTCTTGTTATTATTGCCGAGGACATTGACGGCGAAGCACTTGCTGTCTGCATTCTCAACAAGCTCCGTGGCCAGCTTCAAGTTGCTGCTGTCAAGGCCCCTGGTTTCGGTGACAACAGGAAGTCCATCCTTGGCGATCTTGCTGTCTTGACCAACGGTACTGTCTTCAGCGATGATCTTGACATCAAGCTTGAGAAGGCTACTCCGGACATGCTGGGTTCTACCGGATCCATCACCATTACCAAGGAGGACACTGTCATTCTGAATGGTGAGGGCAGCAAGGACCAGGTCTCGCAGCGTTGTGAGCAGATCCGTGGTGTCATCAACGACCCGACCACATCCGAGTACGAGAAGGAGAAGCTGCAGGAGCGTCTTGCCAAGCTCTCTGGTGGTGTTGCCGTCATCAAGGTCGGTGGCTCCTCCGAGGTTGAGGTTGGCGAGAAGAAGGACCGCATCGTTGACGCTCTCAACGCCACCCGTGCCGCTGTCGAAGAGGGAATCCTGCCTGGTGGTGGTACCGGTCTTCTCAAGGCTTCCGCCAACGCTCTCGACTCGGTCAAGGCGCACAACTTCGACCAGCAACTTGGCATAACCATTGTCAAGAACGCCATTACCCATCCTGCCCGCAAGATCGTCGAGAACGCCGGTGCTGAGGGCTCTGTCATTGTCGGCAAGCTCATCGACGAGCACAAGAACGACTTCAACAAGGGATTCAACAGCGCCAAGGGCGAGTACGTTGACATGATTGCGGCTGGTATTCTGGATCCCTTCAAGGTTGTCCGCACTGCCCTTGTCGATGCTAGTGGTGTTGCCTCGCTCCTCGGTACCACTGAAGTGGCTATTGTCGAGGCACCCGAGGAGAAAGCCGGCCCTCCAGGTGGCATGCCTGGCGGCATGGGAGGCATGGGCGGAATGGGCGGAATGGGCTTCTAAGCAGCTGAAGCCTGACCGTCTATTTTCTTCTTCTTATACCCCCATTTCGTTATTATGACTTTAGTCTTACGTCTCTCCCAGTGATGGCTTATGTACACGATATTGAGTTGGTCTCCGCTCCTCAGTCACGGTTTTTTTCTTAAAAGCACTGCATGTTGGTTATTTGATGTTTTTTTGTACAATACTGTGTATCTAGAAGACGTCCTGGGGAGGGCAAGATGTAAAAAGTGACGAAGGAAATGTGAAACAGTTCAAAGACATGTACTACATGAATGTTTTGATGTGTTGACATTGGGCAGCAGAGAGTGGATGTGGTGACCGGGGTTTAGGCTGACAGTCGGTTGCTGTGGCGGCGCGGCGTAGGCAAATAAACCGGTCGAGGAGTGACCCCACTAGGTACGTCGCTTGGAAAATAACCCCACTACTTGCCTCATCAGCCTCAGCAACACCGCTCCTCCACCTCCGCCCTCCCTCCCGCAAACACGCCATCCACAACAATCAGTCTTCTCCATTGACGTAAGCTGCACTCGCCCCCTCCAAACAGCCCGACCGTTGCTTCCCGCTGCTTAGTTGTGCTGCGGCAATCGCAGTCCATGATGATGAAGCTGACAGGCAACACAGTACTGATAAAGCTGCCTAGTGTCTTGAACCTCCCTTTCGCATCCTCGACACTTCACACACAACATCATGGTAAGGCTTGTGCACATTGTCCACCTAACAACTTGCGCTGACTGGATTTGCAGGCTCAATCCGGGTACGTAGTGATCGCCTGCAGACAGCACACCACATGAATGGCAGCCGCCGCCCGACACTCACACGCGCAATCACACCTTCATATCAATCTCTCCAATACCCTAGCGCGCCCTCCAAACGACTAGCTCTCTTGATACTAATAATATCACAGTGTCTCCGTCTCGCCCGAGTGCATTAGCACCTTCAACGAGCTCAAGCTCGGCAAGGATATCAAGTGGATCATCTACAAGATCAGCGACGACTGGAAGGAGATTGTCGTTGAGGAGACTTCCAAGGAGGCCAACTTTGACGTATTCCGCGAGAAGCTTCTCAACGCCAAGAGCAAGGACCGCAAGGGCAAGGAGGGCATTGGCGGTCGCTATGCCGTCTTTGATGTTGAATACGATCTTGAAAGTGGTGAGGGATCAAGGAGCAAGATCACCTTTATCAGCTGGACGCCCGATGATGCGCCACAATACGTACGTGACAGTCTAAACGACAACGGGGTTGACATGAGAGTCTCGACTAACGCTGCATACAGCCCCGCATGATGTACTCGTCCTCTAAGGAAGCCATCAAGCGCTCTCTCAACGGTCTCGCTGCCGACATCCAAGCCAACGATGCCGACGATCTCGAGTTTGAGAACATCAAGAGCCGTGTCTCCAAGGGCCGCTAAGGGCCTCTTCGTCTAGCCAGTCACATTGGACCTGCGCAACCCACCACGCGAGGACACCGTGAGCTGGAATGGCACGAAGATATAAAGTCGAGTGATTAATTTGGTAGCGTGTCATGTCATAGCGACTTTTCAGCAACGGAATGAAAATGATTAAAGCGACGATTTGCGCGCAGTAGCATTGCTGGGCTTTGTTTCGAATGGTTAGGCGTGGTATGCTTTCGACGGACTGAAAACTGATTAAGTCGTACTTGATCAACGTGTTTTGGGTATCTTTTTTTTGGATAACGTGACGTGACGGCATGGCCATCTGCTTTATTTCTTCCAGTTGCATGTGAACCATCTGCTCATAGATGCTAATTACTTGTTTTGCTCCCAAGCGGCCTTGAATACACCAACTAGCCTCTCACCCTCTTCTGCATCCTTGGTCCGTTGTAATATGAAGGTCTTCAGATTTCCCCAGAACTCGTCAGTAGCGACGATGTCCTTCCCACTCACGGCTCCTGTAGTTGTGGAGGAAGCATCGGCAGATGACTCCCCTGCGCTGGCCAGGCCTTTCTCACTCTCTGTTGGCGGCGCAACAGCAGGGGGGCTTGTCACAGGGGTGCCTCCTGCCGCGGGGCTACCTGAAGCTGCCGCAGCACCTGCCATCACCATGACACCAAACTCAACCTCAGCACCAGCATCAGTGCCTATTACCTCTATCAGAGTCTTTGAATCTGTGACAGGCTTCTTCTTGTATAAGATCTTGATCTTGGCTGCCGACAACGAGGCCTGCGTCGCATACTGCTGCTTCAGATCGTACACGGAGGTTCTGGAAGGGTCGATGGCGGAGAGAGGGATTGTAGGCGTCGAAGGTTTCATGGGCTTCAGGGTCACTGTAATGGTCGAGGCAGATGTAGAGGCATCGGCGCTGTCTGTAGACTTGGGGTTTGGGCGTTGTGGGTGGGGTGGGTGTGGAAGGCGGGGGAGCGTGTACTATATGAACGCATTAGTTGACAAACAGATATATGGGGATTTGATAGAACGTACAGCGCCTTGCGCGGGATACTGTCGCGCGTCTGCAATGTGGTCTGAGGAGAGCTTTACCGGGCGCGCGTCGAGGGCGCTCAGAAACGACTTGCAGAATGCGAATTCCGACATGGTGGGCTACAATCGAGTTTACTGATTTGGGCGCTGTTGTTTCGATGTCCTTGCAGGTATCCAGAGCAGCGTCTGTAGTGTAGACAACGGGATGCTCCGTGTAAGTTGTTGCGAACAGCTCCAGTCCGATGACGCTGTTTGGAGAGATGCGGGACAGTGGGCTGGAACCGGGGCCAAATAGCGCTAACCCGAAGGAGGTCCGCTAGCGTGGAAAAAGTTCCCCAAAATCTAGCAACGAAAGTTCCAAAGTTCGCGCAGGCGTCGGTTCCGCCAATTCTTCAACAACCACCACTCTTTTTTCTGTATTCCGCCCAAGGATTTCCGTACAACATCGGCAGCCATGGGTCAAGGTCGCCGTATGAAGAAGCAGGGCATTCCTGAGCCCCTCGATGAATCGCTGGTAACAAGGAAGCGAAAAGATGCGCCTGCGCCTGCTGAACCAGAGCGCAAGAAGAGAAGTAGGACAGCTGCTCGGGAAGCTAGAGAGGCCAAGGCGAAAGCTCAGCCCAAGACAAGAGTCGCTGGAAAGCCCGTAAAGACGGCCGCTGCTGTTGTCAATGGAGCAAAGGCCAAAGCAAAGGCCGCAAAGGCCGCTCCGCCTCCACCGTCCGATGACGACGACGACGAAGACGTTTCCGAAGACGACTCTGAAATGATGGATGATTCCGATATCAACGTTACCGGACTCGATGCGCTCGGTAGCGCGTCCGAGGGCGAAGAGTCAATCGACGAAGACGAGTTTGACTCGGATATTGTAGATTCAGATACCGATATCAGGAAGGGCGCTGCGATGTGGTCAGAGGACGAAGACGACTCGGATGCCGAGGAGAAGCTTACGGCAGCCAACATTGCTGGACTGTCTAGGAAGTTGGACGAGCAAAAAGCAATTGAAGAGGCCGAGGCGCAAGCTGAATTGGAAGAGAACATGCAGACCAATATTGTTGGGGAGAGGCCGAAGATTCTTGAGGATGAGGAAGATGAAGATGGCAGGCCGATCACGAACCTCGTCAATCAGGACATTCAATTGCTAAGGACAAGATTGACCGACACTATTCGTGTTTTGGATGATTTCAAGAATCTGGCTGAGGAGGGCCGGAGCAGGGCAGAGTATAGGGCGTCGCTTCTCAAGGATATTTGCGCTTACTACGGTATGTCACAAGCACAAGAGCTAGTATGTTGGCGAGTTTCAAGCTGATTTGATTTAGGCTACTCCGAGTTTCTAGCAGACAAGCTTCTGAGCCTTTTCCCGCCTCGCGAAGCTCAAGCTTTCTTCGAGGCCAACGAAACTCCACGACCCATCGTCATCCGTACCAACACCCTCCGTACTCACCGAAGAGACCTTGCGCAAGCACTCATTAACCGTGGTGTGCAGCTCGAGCCTGTCGGTAAGTGGTCAAAGGTCGGACTTCAGATCTTCGATGCACAAGTACCGCTGGGTGCTACTCCGGAATATCTCGCTGGACACTACATTCTACAGGCTGCGTCGTCGTTCTTGCCCGTTATGGCTCTTGCGCCACAGGAGAACGAGCGAGTATTAGATGTGAGTAGTGTTGAGATTTCTATTCTGTTACTTGATCCTAACACTATTTGAACCAGATGGCTGCTGCTCCCGGTGGTAAAACAACACATTTGGCAGCACTCATGAAGAACACAGGTTGTATCTTCGCCAACGATGCCAACAAGGATCGTGCCAAGGGTCTGATAGGAAACATTCACCGTCTAGGCGCGAGGAACGTGATTGTATCCCACTACTCGGCTTTGGAGTTTCCTAGGGTCATGAGTGGCTTTGACCGTGTGCTGCTCGATGCGCCTTGCTCGGGTACTGGTGTTATCGCCAAGGATGCCAGTGTCAAGACCAATAAGACCGAAGCCGATTTCATGAAGCTGCCTCATCTACAGAAGCAATTGTTGCTTGCTGCCATTGACTCCGTCAACCATCACTCCAAGACTGGCGGCTATATTGTTTACAGTACTTGTTCCGTTACTGTCGAGGAAAACGAGCAGGTTGTACAATATGCGCTCAATAAGAGACCGAATGTCAAGCTTGTTGAGACTGGCCTTACTTTTGGTAAGGAGGGTTTCACAAGGATTGGAGGGAAGACTTTCCATCCCTCGATGAAGGTAAACTTTATCTCTGTTCCAGGAAGACTTGAATGGCTTATACTAATATCTCGATAGATGACCAGGAGGTACTACCCTCACACTTACAATGTCGACGGTTTCTTTGTCGCCAAGTTCAAGAAGATTGGCCCTACGCCACCCAATGCTATTGGCGCCAACGAGGCTACCAAGGCCAACGGTGCAGGTAACTCAGACACAATCACCGAGGTTGAAATCGTGGATCGCACTCCCATCGGCGCCGATAGCGACGAAGAATCGGACTTTGGCGGATTTGATGAGGAAGAGGATCAGAAGTACATTGAGAAAGCTCAGGCTAAGTCGATGCGCAAGAAAGGCAAGGATCCCAGGGCTATTGTGCCAAAGGCGGAGAAGAGTACGAACGGAGTATCAAAAGAGAAGAATGGCAATCTGAGCGCAAAGGAGAAAGCGGGTCGCAAGGAGAAGAAGGGCGGCGGTGTTGAAGTCGCAACTGAGGTTACGACGAAGGAAAAATCCAACGGTGTTAAGGCGAAAGAGACAAAAGTCGAATCAAAGAAGGGGCGAAGAAAGAGTGGGGAAAAGAAGGGTAAGGCGTAGTGCGTTTTCTTGTCGGATCGCGATGGATGGCCTAGCAAATGGAGGCGTGTCAACTGTCCCATCGGATTCCCAATGCAGGTGTAAAAGCCGTCGCGTACTTTCCTACAGTGTATGAATGGGTTTTGGCGCCCTTGTGTACTAGTGGCTTCCCTCAGCCAGGCTGTCAGGATTCGCTAACATGGTTACAACTTGTCACTACTGCATGGTCTGAACAAGTTGCTAACGGCCTCTAGTATTGGCCTATCGTCGTGTCGTGTACTAAACTCTAGTTTCGATGCAAAGCCCCTTGATGCATCTTCGCGTCTTCTAGCGGTAACACCGGCTGTCAACAGATTGGCCACCATCATCTTGGGCTCGAAATGGGCCGATCATACCCCCAAACTCAACCCCAGAACCACCTCCACTTACTCCAGCTTGCACGACAGAACTACATACCTCAGGCTGAACGATCCGATATCCGACGAATGGTCGTCCCGGAAATTCCTATCTTACTCCGCTTGTCGCCTGTCATCATTGCAACGGTTGCAAGTGACATGGACAGCCTGCAGCGTCAGCATGCCCGATGTCTTGGTAGGTCCCACCCAGGTCAGCACGCCGAGCCTCGGCAAGCAGAGGATTCCTGGGCAAAAAACTCGAAGCACACCAAGTCTTGGACATCACGAGAGCGTTTCCCGCCCTGGTCATCCTCATATTTGACTCGCAATTGCACACCTAGGCCAGAGACAAGATGACGCTAGCCAGCGCCCGCCGCATCTGCCACGCCCTCTGCCAAGCGAAAACAAGCGATCAGAGCGCGCAAATAACAGAGTTCAAATCGCCCACGCGACACGATGTGCGCAATTATTCTCTCAGGACCGAGAAACATTCCGACCGGAGGACCCTTCGATTGCCGCGCTCTCTTCCTGTTCCTGCGACTTGGGCATGCAGAATCACAGTCGGCCCGTAGAGTGCTTGTAGCAAAAACCCTACCCAACATGCAACCTCATCCAACCAGGGTTTGGAAAAGGTTTTTTTCGTGCGTCTTGGTAGCAAAATCATTTCCATGTTCCGTAACCAAGTCCGCGCACGGCTTTCGCCGTGAATGGCAAGCTCGCCATGCTTTTCGAGGGCAAATGTGCTGAGCTTCACTTAGCCTTGTTCCCCATCCATCTTTACTATCTTGTCTTGGTTTTATTTCTCATCCGACTTTTTTCTTTCTTTCCATCAGTCTATGCAACTAGGCTGACGGGGTTTTTTTTTCGACGTTGAACTGACATAATCGAGATTAGTCTCAGCTATCGGCGCATTTACCAGCCTCCGACGTATGTGGCACGGAGGCAGCCATATAAATCCGGGGTAGTTTAGCCAAGCCCGATTTGAGTGGTCGCAACTCCATGCGGGAGATGGCTAGTGCAAGTTTCCCCATCCTTGTCGACTGAGACCGGGGCTGGGCATAGGTTGACGAGGGCGCGCGTCTCGTGAGATTGTTGTTAGTGTGTCCAGCAGGGGTGCTCCATTGGAGCCCCAGACGGGAATGGAGAGCTGTCGCCCAGACTGGCGTTTTGAGATAAAAGCATCCTGCGCGCGCTTCTCTCACAGCTGCCTTCTTCATCCTGTTGTCCCAAGGGCTTGCGACCTTTACGTTTATCTTGCCCAGTTTACATATCTTGAGTTGCACCTTGACATCATGGGTATTATGCTTAAGCCCCCGCCAGATGTGCCTGGCAAGGCATGGTGTGTTTGCTCAAACACCTTCCCCACAATCATAGCTAAACGTTACACAGGCCAGCCATTGTAATTGGTCTTTTCGTTGCCTTTGGTGGTGTACTCTTCGGGTGAGTTTACAATACGTGATGCTGGTGGTGGACTCTGTCTAATTTGCAGATATGATACTGGTACCATTTCCGGCATTATTGCCATGGACTATTGGAAGAAGGAATTCTCGACAGAGCCAGACCTCAGTATAACTGCGGCTCAAGATTCGTTGATTGTATCCATTCTCTCGGCTGGTACCTTCTTTGGTGCTTTGACAGCAGCTCCATTTGGTGACCTTCTTGGAAGACGTTGGGGTTTGATCGTCTCAGCTGGTTTGGTCTTCAATCTGGGTGTTATCATGCAAACTGCCTCGACCGCACAGCCTCTTTTCATTGCTGGCCGTTTCTTCGCTGGATACGGAGTTGGTCTTATTTCTGCACTCAGTAAGCCTCCTTTGTTCCCGCGGGTTTTTCAGCCCAGGACTAACGGCTTTACAGTTCCCATGTACCAAAGTGAAACTGCGCCAAAATGGATCCGTGGAACGATTGTCGGAGCGTACCAGTTGGCTATCACCATTGGACTGTTTCTGGCTGCCATTGTAAACAATGCGACCAAGAACCGTCAAGACTCGGGATCGTACCGTATCCCCATTGCTGTTCAATTCGCCTGGTCTATCATCTTGGTTGGCGGGTACGTACTCTTCTTTAAGGCAATAAATTACGTCGGCTAACATCAAGTTTCAGACTTCTCTTCCTCCCAGAGACCCCCCGATACCTCATTAAGATGGACAAGTACGACGAAGCCGCGAAGAGTCTCGGACAACTCCGCCGCCTGCCTGTCGACCACCCCGCTGTTATCGAGGAGCTCAACGAGGTGCAAGCCAACCATCTCTACGAAATGTCACTGGGCAAATCGACATACATTGAGTGCTTCCAGGGCACACTGGGCAAGCGACTGTTGACGGGATGTTTGTTGCAATCGCTACAACAGTTGACTGGTGTCAACTTCATTTTCTGTGAGTATTCCATTATCTGGGATCGGTAATAATTTACTGACAATATGTAGACTACGGAACTCAGTACTTCCAGAGGGCTGGGTTCGACAACCCCTTCATCATTCAGGTCATCACCAACTGCGTCAACGTCGCTTCTACTTTCCGTAAGTTTCACTTGATAGCTTCATCATTTGCAAGGTACTGACTTCTCTTGTGTAGCTGGTCTCTGGATGGTTGAACGCCTCGGCCGACGTAACCTCCTCTTGCTCGGAGGTGTTGGCATGTGCGTGTGCCAGTACATTGTCGCCATCACCGGAACGGTCGCCGGAACTACCGATTTGCCTGCTCAACGTGCTGCCATCGCTTTCGTGTGCATCTATATATTCTTCTTCGCCAGCTCCTGGGGACCGGTCGCGTGGGTTGTGACCGGCGAGCTTTTCCCTCTCAAGGCTCGTGCCAAGTGTCTTTCCATGACCACTGCTAGCAACTGGTAAGACATCAACGGATCTGGGAAGTAATTCGGCTAACAAAGATATTTACAGGCTGCTCAACTGGGCTATTGCTTACTCGACTCCCTACATGGTTGACCCCGATCACGCCAACTTGCAATCTAAGGTGTTCTTCATCTGGGGAAGTTTCTGCTTCGTCTGCATCTTTTTTGTGTAAGTGGCTGTCTCCCAAATTCTCGTAGATCTTTGACTGCATATCTGAAATGAACCGCGCTAACATACTCGCTCCTACAGCTGGGCCATGATCTACGAAACCAAGGGTCTCACCCTCGAACAAGTCGACGAACTATACGGTATTGTTGGAAAGGCGTGGAAGTCCAAGGAGTTCCGCCCTGCCGTCTCATATGCCGATATGGATCCTTCTGTAGCCCGCAACGTTAGCCTCAGCGAGGTCGCAGCCAACCAGGAGAGGAAGCGCAGCATTGCGCACGAGGAGGCAGCTCCCGTTGCTGATACCCAGACTGCTAAGTTCTAGGTGCCTTCCCGGGGAACCGCACATATTAGTAGTAAACCGGTACTGCTCAAACTGGCCCCAGCAAGGCGAAATGAACGAAGGAAAGAAATTGCGGAGGAGTAGTAATTTAATCAAGCACAGTGATCAATACGTATGCGTGCATTATACACAATGCAAACCCAGCAAAACCCAACACGTGACTTCTGCACCCTTCCCTTCAACCCACTCTAATACTCTAAAATATCCTTCACGGCGTATAAAAACCCCTACTCCACTTCTCACTCTCACTCTCCCTTTTCCTCAATTCTCCCTCCTTCCTCCTTACCTCCTGCTGCTTCATCTCCTCCCCCCTCCTCTTGACCCTATCCAACGCAACAAGAATCCTATACCCAACCCCCGGCTCATCCCCCCTCATGCCCTCCCCTACATAATCTCTAACCTGCAACCTTTCTTGTCCGGGGACGTACGCTCTTTTCCCGCGTATGCCTAGTGGCAGGGGGTTTCCTTGTAGAAAAGGGTTGCGAAAGATGTAGGGGAGGCGCCGGCGTTGAAGGATGGAGAGGGAGGGGTTTTCTTGGGAGATGCGGTTGCAGTTCATTTTTTGGTATCTTGGCATTGTTGTTGTTCTGATAGAGGTGGCGGTGGCGGGGGTGGTAGAATAGAGGGCATGTGAAGGGTATATGTATATCTTGGTTTAGTGGAAGGTTGGCATCATGAAGGAAGGAAGAATACGTAGTTTGCTGAAGGGTGGAGATTTCACAGCGGAGTGGTGCGTTGGAGGTGTGCTGGTTGTACACGTGTATCGAGGATGAAGGTAATGGGTGGGAAAGTATGAGGTGGTGGTGTGGTATTCACATGTTGTGGGAAAATCACGTATCTTGATTAACCTATGATCCAGAGACTTGAGAGTTGAAGGATATCCATCGTATACCTGTGCTGCCAGATATCAAATGGTGACGACCGTCTACCCATCTGGACATGGCTAAAGATCTACAATCTCCTCGACATCACAGCAGAATTGCATCAATTTTTGAAATAAGCAAATTTGTGACCATTCGCGACTGAACCAAAAGAAACTACATATCTCCGCAGCGCAATCAAGTTCCCTCTCAAGATAACCAAGTGGTGATATTCCTTCGGGGTATCTGCGCTGACCAAGATAATATGTGGAAAATCGCATCATTTTCGTCATGTCTAAAAGACATTGCTGAAGTGTGCACCAAAGCAGAGAATAAATTGTGGAGCCGGGATCGCTTTTGAGTCCTAAATAATGAATCAATCGCTTTTCAATCGTCCCGCAATGTAAGCGAGTTTGTGCAAGCAAAGTAAAGCAATGGAACGTATGGATCGTGGAAGATAAAAGTCATCGAATCGTAATGGTCATCGAAAGCACTGAAGTAATTTAGTCAGTAAAGGGCTCAATCGATGTGCTGATAAAAGTCTTACATGCATGGAATCATCATCGCCCTAAGAGGGTGTGAATGAAGAGCTGAAAGGCTCAGCCGAAGTAGCGGGGGCTGTATGGCTGCACCTCAGGAGCCTCGGTCTTGAAGATGTCACCAAGTGGCTCCTGGCTGTTGTGACCCGCAGAGTAAGCCGCATAGTCAGTAAACTCGGAGAAGTTGACAGATTCCAGCTGGCGACGATCAACTGGATTAGAATCCTGACTGTACTCGGCATTGCCTCCACAGGGATTTCCATAGACCTGGGTTGTCTGGTTTGGCATATCGGTGAGAAAACCACTACCAAAAGGGTTGTTCTCTGGAGTGACAATATCCTCAAATGAACGCAACTGGTCAGTAGTGCCCATGACGAAGTTGTCTTGGTCGATCAAGAGATCGTCAACAACGACATGGTTGCGGTTGTAGAGCTTGCGTTGCTCTACCGAGTCGGCAGACTCCTCATTCATGTTCGGAGGAGATGCTGTATCGAAGCCGAAGCCCATATATGCCTGCTTTCCAGCATCATGACCCACCTGAGCCTGGCTTCCAAGATTGCCATAGGCAGGGGCATATAGATAAGTCATGTTCGTACTGTCGTTCAGGTTATGATTTTCGACCTTGGAAGTCCACTCCTGGGGCTGGTACATAGAATGCAGATGAGTTTGGCGGAAAGGCTGCTGAACAGTGGTGTTCTGAGCACTTGCGAACACGTCTGAGGGAAGCTTAATCTCTGGCTGCTTGGCAGTCTCAAGACGCATACCATCGACACCGCGACGCGCGATTTTGAGTTTCACGATAAGAGAGTCGGCGCGCTTGCGTGAACGGGTCTTAGCTGGGGGCTGGACCTGCGTAGACTGTGTGTTAGCAATGGGTGATAGAGACCTTTCACTTCGATTCTTGCGTGTCCAGGCCATCTTCAGTGTGGGGATGCGATTGCCGTCGGCAACCTGCTTACCGCGCAACTTCAATACAGCCTGTTGAAGCGCGCTGGCGGTGCAATTTTTGCCAACAACCCGGGCAGCTTGCTCGAATGGGATCTGAATACCCTTCTCGCCGCATGCCCAGACAATGCCGAGAACAGCATTCTTCCAGTCATTTTCGGTCCACTTGAGAAGCTTGGGACGAGGCTGGCGAGGTTTGCGAGGTGCACCATCTTTGTTGATCTTTGTTGTCTTGGATGGTAGGTGGTCCTCGCAAGCACTCTCATAGTCCTCGCTGTCTTGCCCAGGGGTGTAACTCACTTGAGAAACACGATCCTCGCTCTGTGCCCAAGCACCATCATCTTGCTTCTGGTACTGGCTACCGACAGAGTCAGCAATGAAGTGGTCTGGCTGAAACGAACGGCTCGTGAAGCCATGTTTGACTTGCGGCGCAGATTCGTAGTTGTGGAGGTACCCCATGTCAGCACCGTCGAAATGGCTAGAGTTGCTCTGGGAGGGCCACGGGACCATCGGCGCCTGGCCTGGAGAATCGTATGTCTCATCAGAATCGAACAGGCCGACCATCTTCAGTTGGTTGTTGTGGTAGGAACCCATGGGGCGTGATGGTCTGATGGATCAAAGGGGTGACTGTAGAAGAATTAGTGTTTGCGAGACACACTGCTCATTCAAGGGACTAGCTTACCCGAAGCGCAGCGAGAGACTAGCTCCAAAAGCAATGCACAAGCTCACGAGAGGGATGTGAAAAGTAGAGAACCCTATGTCTTTCTGTCAGTGAAGTCTATAGTAACAATGGAGGAGCCTTCGTGATACCTACCTTGCACAGCTGTCCAGTAGAAGGGCGAGAATAGGCTGTTTTGGAAAGGAAGGTCTTCGGTGCAGACAGGGTGTAAGCGTTTGCAGGCTTGAGAGTAGCCTAACCACGCAGGCAGCGAGCTCGCGAAAATAGCGATGTACCTCGTGAGCACTGAGAGAATGTCACAGCAGTACAAATTCGCGTGCTGATCGAGAAGACAGCTAAATGCAGGCAGCGCGGTAGACGCCAGAGGAAAGCTCAATCTCAAAGCGCTTCTGTTGCAGTCTTTGTGGCTTTTGCTGTGACTTGCCCCCGTGAGTCTGGGGAGCTCACAGCTACAGTAAATGGCAAGAAGAAGGCAGTATTAGATAGTAATCGGAGTTAAAGGCAGGCAATGAATGTGCGTCGCCAATGTGTTGCCGTTCGCACGTGTTGTCTAGAATTGAGTCGAAGATAGATACACTTGGGGATCTGATAACGTAAAAGTTATCTGACCCTATGTGCTAATGTCTGAAGATCAATTGAGGAAGAGATACTCAAGTGATAGAGTAATAGCTTTGATAGTCCCGAAGTTGCAGAAACCATGCCCAGGTAAGTTTTTTATGCCCGCAGATCCTCAGTCACAGTCGAAACAAGCGGTGTCGAAGCGGCACTAGAACGGCTGGCAGAAGGTTCCATGACGTAGATATCCTTCACTAGATCAGCATCCCCGCAACCCTAGGCATCGGTGCCGGCGATTTGAATAGGTGATATTGTTTGTTCCTGAAGAGTAGGGGTGGGGGAGGTTTGTAAAGGCGGTGAAGGTCAATACCAATAGGGCGGTAACAGCGTATATTGCGCATCCGGAGTATGGGTTCTTGTGGTGAAGGTAGCTAGGTTATTGTTAAGATTATGGTATATCCCTTGTCCATGGATAGCATATATGCCTATGATGTAAATGTAGAAGTGTTCCGTGAGAGTTTCGACGGTGATGCACTACCTGACATCAGGAGGGATAGTGTTGCCGAGGACTATCTTGCCCCACTATGTCCCTTGTACCTGTGTCAATTCGTCCACGCCTAGTTGTTTGTATGTGTTCGGATAGATAGTGGATTGAATATGCTGAGGTTTGAACGAAAGGCACGATAAGTGAATAAAGACATGGAAAGGAGAGAGGGAGAAGAGAAGCAGATGTAAAGATCAGACTTAAGGAGTAGAGACGAAAAGTAAAAATGAAGGCATTGATCGAAGAGAAGTAGAAAAAAAAGGACAAAAACCAGATGTAGGCGATATAGTGAAACGCCTGTTGAGTCGAGGAATTTATCGAATCATCACACAGCTTGCCATTGTACTAAACTGTATAATTAGTCTTACATCGTTTCCGGAATCTGTTCAAATGATTGAATGTGATGTGATATGAACATACACATGAGGCGTACTGGCATTCGAAAATTCTGATTCAGGGCGTCGATAATACATATGTAAGCACTCTGGAGCGACGATAGCTGTAGAGATACACCGACGAGAATTCAAGTATGACTCGATTCGCAATGGTGCAATAGCTGGTCTATGCAGGGATAAGAGTAATGACCAACGACTTATCCAAGTAGCGAGCGAAGTTTGTGTGACAAGAGTTGCTGAGTGATAGTATTGACGGCGTGGCGTCGATTTGCTTGTTGTCTGTTACAGCTTATCGTGACGGCGTATGTGTGAAATGCGATCGTTTCCCAATATCCCCGTTCATCAACGAGCTTCGGAGTTGTCAACGCTCAAGTGTCTTAGCACAAAACCAATTTGAATCAGAAATATGGCCGGATTCCATGTTGCGTTGGTAACTGCAGTGAAGAGCGATGGGATAGTGGAAGTATGGTCTCTGGGATCCTTGGGGCTACGAGAAGAGATATCACCCACACCCACGCATAGAGTATCCGAAGGAACGTTGCGACGATGATCGTGATCAGTCTTGTATGTTCATGTTGCGGGAGACCAGCTCCGGTGTTTGTGTTCAGAACTATATTCAAAGCGGTGTCAAAGCGGTGTGTTTGTTAGCCCTTGCAATAGTCAGTCTACAATGTTTGTCTTCGAGCCCGAAGTTACGCAGTCGCCGAAGCTTGGCAGGTCATCGAGTCGACGCTACCTTTAGCAAAGGGAGTCCAGCAGAAACTTGAGATGTAGTATGGCGGAAGATTCTTATTTCGTGGTTGACTCTCAGGGATGGATCCGAGTTGATGGAAATACAGGAGGTGACTCTGGGTGATGTCCTTTTTGCCGTGGCGGGGTCGGGGCGTCTTGCTGCTTGTAGAAAAAGGAATGCGGATGTCCAGAAAGCATGGGCTAAACAAAAAATTATGTTAACGCTGTGTCGTTATCCATGGCTATGCAAAGCGACTCATGCAAAGGATGAGTTTTTGGAGAAGGATCAAGCAGCTGTGGTTAGTGGGTGAAGGAAGCGAGTAGAAGTGTAAATAAGGTTTCTGACACTAAGTGCGGTGGGTAAGAGCATTGTCCGTTTAGTTTGCAGCCTTGGCACAATTCAGTCTCACAAGGCAAGGAATTAGATAACACTGAGAAGGAAAATAAGAGGATGCATTCAAGTCTTCTACAGTATAGTCATTGGGAAAGTGTCTGTAGGATCGTCAACTACTACCCATGTTCGTGAAGAACTGTATCGGGTAAACGTACCAGAGCATGCACCACACAAGACTCCTTTTCATGAGCATATCTCTATGAGAATCCTGGCGAGGATATGTTGCGGGTCTTTCAGAGAGTGCAACCGCAGAGCTCCTGGATCTCTCAATGGTAATGCGTTGCTTGTGATGGCTTTTCTTGCAGCCCCAGGCCAAGCTCCACAATGGTTCGCTTGGACGTGCGCGAGGGATTCGGTCCGACTCGAATGACGTCGGGCCCTGAAGCTGCGAAGCTGCATCTCTTTTGCTCCTATACTGCCTCTTAAGATGCTGAAGTCCCTCCTCCTTCTCCTTGTGTACCTGTAACGCTCTTGATGGGTGGTTGTTCCCTTTGAAGCCCGCATTGACCTTCAACACCAATGTGGTTTCCCCCTCCTGAATTTTGCTCCTCACTACACCCACCCCACCACGACTAGCCACCGAACTCGATAAAGACATCCGCACATTTCCGTATCTCTCCTCTCATATTTGTCTGAGATGAAGAGTCAGAGTGGTAAGATGCATACGACCTTGGAGCCGCTTCTGCGTCTCTTGCTATCACGCCAACCCCTCAGGCCGCAAAGCTTCGTCGCACCAATCCAACGCCGATGACAACGGTGATCTACCGATCCATCGCGGCTTATGCACAATGGATATACATGGTAGCTTCCTCAGGAGGCTTGCCTTTTTTTGACAATAAGGCCTTCTGGGGCCTGGTTACCCTAATGCATCCTCTCAGCGCGTTCGGGTGTCCGCATCGCTGGTCCTCGCTACCAACATCGCGAGAGAGAGCGACACCCCCAAGAAACTCAATAGAGGTAAGCAGAAGCACTCTGGAGCTTGTATCGCACTCTCGTGTCACCTTCCGTATGCAGACATTGTGCGGAGTTTGCACAACCTCGAGACGCCCAAAGAGCTACCATGATCTCAGGCAATGTCACCCTCGGCTCCTCAGTCCAGGCGGCCGCGATACTCTCTGTGATACGCAGAACTCTTCATCAGCTCCGTCAACCTCTCCATCGGGGATCGAGGCCATGAAGGTCTTGACAACGAGAACATTTGTGGAGCCTGAACTACAGGTTTCTTACCCCGCCGCTTAGGAGGCGCGAACGCCTCTCAATCACAGATGACAGGTTGAGCGGCTAACATCCACCGCCTCCCTCATGACTGGATGCATTCGTGGCTATAGTCTTCACACCATGTGGCGCCTCTGAGCTTGAATGGCTTCTGCGAGCAGCTGACGGGCATCGCTGGTAGCACACGACAGCTGAACGCTGTCCGCGGACAAACCCCAGTTTCGAATCGCTGACGTCAACACGACAGCGACTCTTGTCGATGATGGTATGGCCACTCGGGTCATGCGATACACCGCTATGAATACAATGGCTATCCCAAGGTCGTCTGCACACGGATAGGAGATGGCCACCGATGCCCGAATCGATGGCACCACAACATGTGGCCTCGTGTTGGAGTCGGCCTACTCGAGTTCCGCATACCCATCAGCTCCTCCGTACGACTTCAGCATTGCCAGAGCTCATCTTGGGCCAATACCGACATAAATATTGCCCCTTGGCATTGGCAGAAAGAAACATTGATAAACACAACAGCCATAACATTATGCCACATGTCGTTTGTGTGCCAACAAAAGGTGGCATCATGCCTCATCCGGAATCATCCATATACCAAAGGAACAAAGACTGCGTTGCGCTCGGATAGAATTCTTGTCCTTGAGATCCGCTGATGTAGTGTCATTGCAAGTTTCCCACTTCGAGTTTTCCCCTTCGGGCCAGGGTGCCTGAGGCATCCACCACTGGGAAGGAGACCTGATTCGAGCTGCAGAGATCTTTCTTAATACGACGTTGGCAAAAAGACGGATTGTAATAACGCCACTTTGAAAACCGATGAGGCTGGGAATCTCAAGGGTGGATGCCAAATTATTCTTATTTCTGGCCGAGCTAGAAGATTTCCAGTTTGATATGTCCTTGAAGCTGGCATGGTATTTGCACCAACGTGGTCCAAATATAAGGTTTGGCTGTAAGGGAAATCTTTGCAGACACCAATGTCTTTCCGGATAGTACCCACTGGCCTAGTGTGCAGGCTATCCGGGGTATTCCAAAGCCTCGACAAGAGGTATCCTGATAGACTCCTAGGATGATCCTGCTCTTTCTTTGGCTTCCACGCTCTGGACACCCCTCTTCAATCCTGGAACGATGTTTCAATACCGAGGGATCAGGATTTCGCAACCAGTCAGCTTTGGTTCCATGACAACAACACGAGCAACTCCCCCCTGAGACACTATTCAATTTGTTTCTCACCCTACCAGGGCAGATTCAATCGGATCAAGATCCTGTTTCTTATAAGACAATCTCAAGTTATACTTCGGCTCATTGGATGGCTCTGCGTACCTAATCGGTGACCTAGATGGTTGGAAAGAGCACATGATATTTTGAGATAAAAGGCTGCGTTGCAGATTGGCCGTCTGCATCCGAGACTACAAGCGAACGCTATTATATCAAGCTGTTCAAAATATTCTGGAAAGGGTTTTTGACTTGTCAGCGCATGGTCTCAGAAAGTCCAGATGTGTCGCCTTTTCCAATCGACAGTGAAATTTTTGCAACAGCCAATTGGTCATTGTCCTTAGAGGCCAGGTGTCGCCCGCTATTCCCACTGGTTTTCTGCGTCTTGTAAAAATGACGAAGGCTGGAAATACGATATGAGACAATACATCGATTGCTCGGGTGCAATGCAGCAGTTTGCTCTTCAGCTGGGTGCATCTCAGGTCATTCCTACCACGGGCCATGTTGTGTTTGACCTTCGCCTGACGACTGGTATCTACGGAGGTGCCCCAACATGCCGGACTTCGCTACATCGTGCTGCTTCGCAGTCATATGTTAATGTTGGCTGACAACCGGTTCTCGACAATGAGTCGGTGGCCATAGAAGGCGCTCTGCACGGACGGCCCAACCCCTGTAGTTTCCGAATACTCTTCTGTGTTACAACAGTATGGCTAACCGCGGCCTGTCCGTAGATATTTGGCGTTGGTATGTTCAGCTCTTCTGTAGCTCAGCGATGAGCCAGTTCGGTGTGTTTTAGGCGGAATGTTGTCTGCTCGTGCAATATGTGGAGAACGGCATATCGTCAACGTCAGTCAGGACAAAAAATACTCAAGGCAAGGTACTCTCCAGCAACGCAGCTATATTCCAGCTAGCAATTTTGGCACGACTCTAGCTTCTGTTATTGGGCCATCAAGAGAGCGTGTTGTTCTTTGAAGAGCATATGCCCAACTCTTCGCCAACTGGTCACTCGAGGTCAGCATTCAGCTTCATCGCAACCTCGCAACCTCGGCTCTGATACCGTTGAGTATTTCGCGGACGTGACCCGTGATAGCGACCAAGGTTCACCGTTCTGTATCGCCTACTACCTTCAATTTTGTAGGCGCTCCTGTGCTCGTAGATGCGCGCTCGCGGATCTCCGTGAGCAGAGTCTTAAGCCAGGGGATGCCAGCTGAACCTGCTGTTGCTGCGCGCTATCTGGCAATTTTATGAAAGAGTTTTCCTGCAGTTCAAATCTGTGAATACCGGGATGTTCTTCCTCCTGTTCATGTGCGGTTGCATGGCGAGTCTATCGGTCGTCTGCTTCTTGTTTGAGATGACGCTGCATTGAACTTGTCTTGTCCTTGCAAGCCACAGCGCAGCTTGGTTGTTCATCGATGTACATCTGTACGGTCGCAGGAGCTTGCAGTTGGTGTTGATGAGGAAGAGACGAGCCGATGAGGATAGAGTCTCGTCGAAAGCATCACGCGAAGCCGGTACGGCAACGTCGCTGGTTCTAGGGCCTTGTCAGCTTTCGGTGTCGGAAATGAGAACAAGCATCTCGCCATACGCCCAGTATCCCTTATTCGCCTTCGCACATCTCTGCCGTCGCGATGTCGTTGCCGGTGGTGCTGAAAATAGCGGGGTGTTGGAGCGTGAGCACCGCGGGAGTCAACGACGCTCGCGATGTATGGACACCAACACTAGAGAGCATCCGCCAAACCTTGCGCGTACAAGACACCTATGCGAACCTACTTTCAGCAATGAACTGCGTGGTTAGGCTGTCTCCGTCGTAAGGAGGGATGTATGGAAAGCATATTTGCTGTTTCCCCGCTTGTGTGCCTGCTGCACGCCTGTGAGCGAGAAGTTTCTGATGCACCTGTTTGAACCAGAGCTCGGGGACGACAATCAAAATGCAGTTGCTCTGTCATACAAGTACTAGAGTCAGGACCAGGCTTGCTAGTGGCGGGGGATTCTTGCAAAATGTGGAGTGGGCGAAGACTATGCCGCTGCAATCCAAAGGCTCAGTACGCTGCAGATCAGATTGTATACCTTGGATGCCGACGCCCATAAACTCAACCAAGAAGAGAGGTCCTGGTACTTGAAAAAAATGGGAAGAAGGAAGAAATGGTGTCCATGAGGTACTGGCGTTGTTGGTGGCCATCAGCCACAGGGGCCCGGACCTTGTTGTCGCCTTGTTTGCCCCTCACTCTAAGGAACCATTCCAACGTCACTGGATATTACCGAGTTCAGTTTCTAAGGCTATATATACTGTACTATTCTGGATCCCCCCATCAACAACAGTGCTGATGGGGGGTTACCTAGGAGGGTTGCAGCCCTACGACTCCTTCGGGGATGCCCTACAGCGCCGGATGCCTTGTAGGAAGTCCTTTTCAGGATGTCTTTTTTGCTGGTTCGAGCCTTGCTATGCCCATTCAGTCTTCTTTTTTTACTGCTTGTTTCTGCTGACAGCACCTCTCACTGTGCCTAGAAGCAGCACAGTCACTCGGAGCCCAAGAAACAACCTCTGGCACGAGCTCTCTTCATCATTCCAGGACTTCCAGCTTTTTGAAAAAAATGCTGGTTTTTTCAGCGTGATCTCTAGCAAGATAGGGTGGTGCAACGACTATTCATGACTTCTGGATTTTGACGCTGGTACTGTCACAGGCTTCCGCCAACAAGAAAATGGATATGCGCGAACTACAGTGCAATGTATCCAGCAGCCATCGCTACAACTACAATTGCCCCTTTTATATTTACTTGCTGATGGCACGCCTTGTGTTGTGCAGCTGCAGCATATTGAACCGGGATTGTGCGGTGACAACTTCATGCGATTCGAAACCCCAAGAGTTTTTGAACTACTCTTCGTTGAAGCCTCAAGTCAAACCGATCATCAGAGTATGTTCTCTCTTCTAAGGGATCATAGCATTCTTCACAGGACGCTCAACATCACCGTTGAACGCGGCTCAAGCTGCCAGTCAAGATCAACATATGCCTGGTGTGGATAGAGCCCAAGGCTGCACCAGCAGCAGAAGATCAAACCCACGACGCAGATTGTGCCAACGCAATCCTTTGCAGGTCAAACAGTATGGGCCATCAAAATTAGGAGGCTTAGGCTGCGCGGCTGGTCGTGAAGGTGTCAAGAGTCTGCGTGTCCACTTTGCTGCCTACGCGTCCTGCCATGCTCGCGCACACACAACGCTTACGATTCTCACTGGATTCCTACAAACAAGGCGCCTATCCATGTCAAAAGACCTGGGCTATATAATGGCTCTAATTGTTCTGTCTTTCGCCCTCTTAAAGGGTGTGGGAATAGCCCACTCGGAAAGAACAAAGACTGACTTCCTACCACAGGCCGAACGTTCGAACTACCGCCCAGTCGAAACCTCAATCCGGACGGACCACCACCACGACTACTAACATTGTGAGACTTGGAACTATCCAAGACAGCAGCCTGCAAGGCAGAAACCTACTACCAGAGAATCATCTCCCAAGCTCAGCTTGGACGGGTCCCTTTTTTGCTCTATTTGAGGACCTTTTTACTTCATGCATAGCGAATGAGAGATTATGGTAGTCGACAGTGCTGATGTGGACTTCGTGCGAGCTTGGTTGCTTCTGTGTGGCATTTCTTTTTTGCACCCGAGGACGATGATTTGACTGTAGCGCGCCTTTTGCCTCCCCGCACCACCAACGCGCCTGCATGGTCTAAGACCAAGTTTGAGATCAAAATTGTATCGGGGCAACTCCATGTTTGGTCGGCGCACGATGCGTCAAGTCAGCCGCTGCAACATACGCCTTCAACAATGGATACTGAACTTTGGCCGCAAGAAGGAAGATCACATTTGCATACGCCAAAGTCCCAATACGACTCGGTACGCTCCAACAGCTAGACGGTGGCAGTCACGTAGACGTCAAAAGTGCAAGTTGAAAATAGTCACATTCATATCTGTAAGTCTATTTGGCAGGCGCACATGCCTCCAAAGGTACCCTGAACAGCCGTGTTCCCATAGCTGGCAGTCAGCACCTATAGCTCTAGTGTACAAGAGGGCCACGGTCAAGGAATCATGTCTCATCCTCAGTCCGCGCGCAAAGTTTCCCGCCTCCCTGACAGCGCATGTCGAACCACGCCTCAAGGATCTCCGACACTTCCCTAGGTATCCTGTGCCGTTGTGGCCATCATTGGCGACTTCTACGCAAACAGCGACGACCCCACCATGTGCTCATCTATGTATTGGAGAATGCTCACCGTTGAGTCTATCTCATGGTCAAGTAGAACAAGGCGTTCGCCGGGTTTAGAGTATTCACCGAGATCGAGGTGTTCATCTACGGTAGGGATCAAGCCAAGCAGGATGTGGGGCGCCTTTCAAATGATGGTCATACGCTTGAACTCCTCGATTTCGGCGTCGAGATTAAACTGGAGTCGCTGAGTTGTCGTGCCCCTCACGATCTGGATTACCATTGTCAACATATGTTCTTGAGAAGAAGGCCCTCATGGCGGAATGCAAAACTCTCTTCACCGTGTACTCATCTAGAAACTTCTAGCCTTGTGCACCCGTTCTCAGTTTTCTCTCTCAGCTCCCCATTCTTCCCAATAACCAATTTGATCGATGCAGTATCTGCCTAGGTTGCGAAAGGTGATTAGCTCGCGCTACCTGGTGTCGCAGCGTCGGATCTGCTCCAACTCCTTGATCCGGATCTGCTCAAGGAGCTTCTCCATTCTGGCTCTCTTATCTTGGTCCATCGTCGTATCTGGCTATACGGCCTTCGGCTGGTGTAGAACGAGGGTCGGCTTCGTGCGCGAGGTGAAGAAAACGTGCGGGATCGATGTCTGGTCCGACACTGCGACGGAATCAGCCGCTCCTCTCTATGGAAGCGTACGCGTAAATCCATCTTATGTACGGGTACACAATCCCGTTATGAGTAACTGAGCAGAAATTAGGTCGAATTCAGGGGTGGCGCTGCTGTTGTGCGGTAAGGTTCATTGGTGGACAAGTCTCAGCAAGTTGTCGGTCGCTTTTGTTCGCAGGTCTGTGTCACGCACATTCACGACGGCCAGTGACTGAACTGCCAGTAGAGATTCAATGTCGTTACGCAATTCAGGAACGTTATTGGGCCAATGAAAGAAATTCACAAAGTCCCCTAGGTAGTTTGGTAGCTGTAGCCCGTTTATCTTATATTGCAACAGGAGGAAAGATATATTCTGTTCCGAAGTAGACAGAGGGCCAAAGGCATCTTCACGACTGCTCGGACTCTACATACAATATTGGGAACTGCTTCTTCTCTGAAACCCCTCTCGACACCCCAAGTTGGTTTCTCGTCAGAGTTTCGCTCGACTAGCGCTTTCTTCTACAAGCTCTTTCGTTTCCTTACCTCGTACCAAACACAAAATTAGACAGTAAAACCACTCCCCCACCTCTACACGACGTCCATTCCGCCAGCAATTTGCAACTATTACAAAAAATTGCCTTCATCCACCTCACTGCTTTCAACCACTATAAGCATATTTCTCCAGTCACCGTCGCCGTCCACAACAACGACGCGTCCTCCTGTCGCTCCAATGTTCAGCCCGGATTCAGATTACGAGATGGAGGACGAAACTATCCAAGCGCGACTCCTTCGTTCCGCCGAACAAACTCTCGACCGACTGGAGGCAGCGCACGAGCTGGCAGACCACCAGGGAGCAAACCGGGTCGTCTACGAGTGGTTGGACGAGGTAGAAACCTAGTCAGTAGATCCTGGCCCTCGTTCGCTGCTTCTGGTCAGTTTCTATAGGCAGCTGTATCACGATGACGCTTATTAACCAGTATCATAGTGGGACGATTATCTTCCTCACTCCTGAGTTGCCCTGGCACTCTTCAGTCTCCTCGTGTTTACGTTGGGCTTCGCTGCTAGCCGCTTCCTTTAGATTCGGACAGAGACTTTACGGACTCCGTCGCTCAAAAGCGAATGGGATACGAACGCATTGGTTCTGGAGACCTCCCTCAAGGGAGCAGACGGTGGACGGATGAGCTAGAGCGGGTGGGTGGAAAGTACACAATAGTGGGTCAGTTAGACGGATAACACGTGCGAGAGACATTTGTCTATCCTTTGCTCCAAATACAACCATGGGTACATTGCACTTGTAAAGACGTACTTCGGCCAGATGGGTGACGATCGAAAAGGGTACTGCAAGACCGCATCGCGAGGCGCTGGTCGCTTGCAAACATGAACATGTCGATCTGGTCACATTTTTACGAAAGTATTGACTAGTGCCTTGATCTTGAGAAACGGCAGCTAAGCATTGACTTATCTTCCTATCCGAAAGACGGCAAACCAAGATATGGCTGTAGTGTGAACATGGGCAAAGGGCCGATTGGCAGCTGTCATGCGTGCCTATTCGGCTGGTCGGGGAAAGTTGCGGGCGATACTAAGCCCCTTTGATACCTAGCATACCTCCCATTGGGCCTTCTTGCACACATGCAACCCTCGGCCCTCTTTAACCCTCGCAACCTTAAACCAACTACAATGCGATCGGCCGAAAGCTCTTATTATTGACATCTCGCGATTGTTCCATTTGTTCCTCCTCCATTTGACAGCGTCCGCACTCGTGCTCTCATTACCGCCTCAAATTGCCAATCCGGATACTTCTTAACATCTTGAAGTTCATCACTACGTCAAATCGATTCATGGATGTGTGAGCCATGAACTGCCTCATGACCCCGCATATCTTCACAGCTTTCCCGTTGCACCCTCAATGTTGGGTTTTTGTCTTAAAAGGTGTATGAATTGAGTTTTATTCCCGTCGCCGCACAAACACACGGAACTCTTCGTACGTGCCAACAAGCGAAACGACCAAACTGCGAGAAGCTGAGTTTCTCGTTGTGAGTCACGCCAAAGCTGATCGCAGTTGATTCCCAATATGAATCATGTTCCATTCCAACACCCGATTTTGATTCAAAGTCTCCGTCCCTGATAGCACGCGAGCGTTCGTGCTGACAACAAACCCTTCTCAAAAACCAGATCCCCAATGGACTTCTCATATACGACCCAGCTTTCACGAATCTATGAGCTCTTGACTCGATAGGTACGAGTTCCAAGCTTTTCCAGCGCTTTTTATTGGAAATAGAATCTCAGAAGATGTCCTCCGAAGAGATGCAAGAGTCGTACTCTGGTTATGGAATATCAATGGGTACTGAGGATCAGCATGTTTGGTATCTAGAAAGCAACCGATGGGCTTAAGGTAGTTCTAACTTTGAAGGCGAGATTGAACCTTGACTTCCTATCGTTTAGAGCTACAAGGATAACTAAGTGCGAGAACGTACTCGGTGAACTGATTGGTACGAGGGGCTTATCAACCCTCTCAAAATCAAAATTGGATTATTGAATCGACGGGGATGAGGGTAAGTCAATCTAGAAGAACAACCAACTACATTTACTGATAGCGATACAGAGAGGGCTATGGAAATCATATTTTCATGGTACCCGCGTCATTATGTGATACACCGTCTAGCTTGTACGGATACGGCTCACGTGAAATACTTTTACGGGCCCTCAGACAAGATCACCTCTCGTGTCCTGCACTTCTTTTGCTCACAGAAACCTCTTAGCCTAAGACCCCGTTCGACTGAATTGCCTCAAACCGATCGCTGTGTTTCTTCCTGACCACTTCCATCGACCGCCCACGATTCCAAAGCGAAAATCCCCTCCCTCCTCCTTCAACAGTAGCAGTAACATCCTTTTTGAAGTCCTTGTCGAGGAACATTGGACGGGCATCATTTTGAATCTCTGCAGTGTTCTCATTGCAGAGCTCAATCATTTCTTGGTCTTCACTTCCTGCCTCTCTTTGCATAAATTTAAACAGCTCCTTCATACGGCCACTCCTCTCCAGAAGTTTGGGTCCTCATCCCTTTCAGCTTACATTCCAGTTTCCCGCAGCCCTCACCTGATCCTGAGTCCGAATGATACACAATGTATGTAGCATAGAAACTGGGCCTATTTCAGACATACAGTCTTTCTAAATCGGCATATTCCTGAGCTCGTTCCACATCCCGGATGGTTGCCAAGATTTGTCTTCTCATCGCATTGGATGCATGGTGGATCTCTCTGAAAACGGCGACAGGTTCCGTTCATTACGAATCGGGAAGCCCAGTCTTGCTCCGAGCATGGTTAATCCTGGCCAAACGATTTATATGCTACATGCGCTACTTCGAAAAGTACGTTCGGTGCGAATCCTAGGACGTGCAGTGTATGCGACCCAAAGTGCTACATCCTGCCATAGCGTAGTATTACGATAAGGAAAAGCCTTATTGCAGCACAGGCACACCCGGAGTAACGACACCTATTCGGTCCTGCGAACGGATGGGAATCTACTTACCGCAAGTTTGTTCTTCTCTAGTCTTGTCGACGTTAGAGGCGAAGATCAGAACAATTCGATATATTCCGCAGCGCAACCTCGACGATGCAGCAACAAGATACCCTTCCCCGCACTGCCATTGCGATGACAGCATGGGTTGAGATGGAGTTGCAAGGAAATCTGGATAGGGACTCTGCGGCAGTGCCGGTAACCCCGCCCCCACGAGGCCTAGTCGTGACGAACCCATGCATCCTAGCAGGGAACAAGGCCACTGTGCAACCCCCCATTTGGAGGTAGTCCATTGCACATACGCATCGTGCAGGAGCGTGGGGGCTGCGACGGTCGTATGAGTGATATGGCGCAATTCAACACAATCCTGGATTTGGCTCACTCAGAGAAATACTGGTGGCAGTGGGGGCAGGCAGCCCACCTAGGCGGGTAACTGGTTGGCATTTGTGTCGTTCTTATAGGGCAGCGCATCAGCGCCCATGCAGGGACGAACGTCAGTCTTTGAACCCCCAAAAAGGCCTCGGGTGCGAAGCTCTACCATGAACACACAACAAAGCCCTCCGAGCCGCTGATCCAACACTAACCATCCCAAGAGAAAAGGAAGCAACTGCGAAGAAGTTCATGTGGCCCATGGAGAGTAATGTCCGATCCCTACAGTCAGCAAGCTTTTGGGCAGCCGACCTTCACCGACGCACATGCGAATGGGAGTTCCTCTGGACCTGATATGTTCGATGTCATCGACGCATCCAATCTCTACCACGACCACGACCACGCCTATCGATCTGGCAGTCAACATCTGCAGCAATTGCACATACACACTCATGGCGAGTTTGCGCAAAGCCAGCATCTTGCGTATGCCTTGCAAGAGAGCAGTCCATCGATTGCAGGTAAGCTTACCCCCCCCCCCCACCTCTCTTCCATCATCGTTTTGTTGTTTACCTCCCTTTTTCTACGCGCTTTTTTTTTCGCTGTCCAAGCATTGTCTCTCCCGGGGTTCTGGATTCTTGTCCGAGTTCCCTGGATTGTCGGTCTTGGATGACGTTTGGCCGGGAGAGGATGGCGTGCTCCCGCTAGCTGCACGTGATCAAGCGATGCAACGATACATGCAACAACGGCCTGCCTGCTTTGGGAGGTATTTATGCGCGCTGAGCAAAGATGCATTTTGTTGATCTGGATCGCTCGTCAATCAAATACGCAGCAGTCACCGCACTTTCACAACATCGTTTTTTCGACTTTACCACGCTCGCTAATGTCTTCAAAAGGCCTTCAGTACACCTCACCAACGGTGCCAAACATGAGAAGCCACTTATCGCACCATTATGAGCCCGATAGCGCAATAAACCTCGGATTGGATGATCTTCAAAGGTTATCCACAGCCGCGCACGGTTACAACATTAACACCTATCGCACGCCATACCCTGCCAGTAATGCGACATCCACCTCATCAGCCACGTCTCCTGACCCCACAAATGCCACTCTGCTCACTGATCCAGTGGTTGTAGAAGCAGAAGAAGACAAAAGAAAGCGCAATCAAGCTGCTTCTGCTCGTTTCCGTCAGAAGAAGAAGCAACGTGAGCAGCATCTCATGGAGAAAACCCACGAGATGCAGGAGCGGACGAAACAGCTGGAGGCGGAAAATGAAGGGCTTAAGAAGGAAAATTCATTTTTGAAGAAACTGTTAGTGGAAAAGGTTGATCACATGAGTGACGAGGATCGGGAGTTGTTAAGGAAAGCCGCTGGAGAAGTGTTGGATAAGGTGGCTGGGAAGGCGGGCTGAACAGTCATTCTCTTGCGCACCAGTTAATTTTGGTTTCTCATTCCCAACTGAGAGGCAAGACTGAGATTTATGACGGAGGTGAATGGGCAAGACTGATGTCTTGCAGGGGAAGGCGCACCGGAGTTTACGCAGTCTGGAGTCACTTTTTCATAATGTGTTGTCTCAGGATGGTAATCATTTACATCCACGTAACAAAGGATGGCTTGCGGTTTAAGTCTGTCTCAGGGGTCGTAAAGACGACTGTTGATTGTGTTTGCCTTGGCGCAACCGGAACCATGGGTACCTTGGAGTTTTACGTATGCCCTTAGCGACAGACTCACCTACAGGAAAGTTGCATCATGGACTATCTCGGGGGATACTCCCTGAAAGTACTCTTCATGGCAGCTAGAAATGCCGCTTGCTATTGATCTGTCGATAGACACAGCCGCACTATCAGCCAGCATCGCGGCGAATAATCAGCCGGGCCTACCAATTATTGAGGACCTGCCATGGGGCGGACATTGCTTTTACGTACAATATTTCGGCCGCCATCGAGCTAAGTCTGTGGGCCGATGCGTCTATAATTTCCCGAATTGATACTAGCGAAGAGGCAGCCTTGCAGTTGAGTACGTACTGATGCGACGGTGGTACACAGAGTTGGGGGATTTTTTTTGGTATACATATCTGTGCTGATGCTCTGGGTTGCATCCTTTTCTACGGTGCTGATATCCTTTCCGATATTCTTGTCGCCCTGTGGAAAAATGCCGTTTGCCTCTCCACAAATTTGCCATCACGAGAGCCGGAGTACTACCGAGAAGGGGTGTGTTAAAGTCACAGCAGGTATTGATTTTGTTGCATGTCGCAGAAGAACATCAGCATCAATCCGAGTTGCTATATGACAGTGGAATGGAATGAGAAATTTCTCCTCAGATGCACGCAAGTCATCCAAATCCCAAAATAGGTGAGCGCAGACGAAGTTTTTTCTTCGTCAGGAAATACTTCATTAGGTTACTGTCTCATTTCCAAACAGGGGACCCGCTCCATATTTTCTGACGTTCAGAATTGACCAGTAGGCTCAATGAGTGTTGAATTGTGGGGTATAGTGGGATGCAGTCGGTTTGTATTCGCACAGTTGAAAGGATTTACATATGTGTATGAGGATCAGAAGTCCTGGAGGAAGTCCGCGGAGTTGATATTCTGTCGAGGCCTATTGGTGGGCCTATCGATAATGCACTGTGATATGTATGTTGTTTCAACGTGAGATCTGCATACTTCTCGGCAGTTACGAGTTGCAGTGATGTCAGTCTTTGGGTTTCAACCGGAGCGACGTTATCGATCTGAGTTGGAGTAGGCAGGTCACCACCGCCCCCGCAAGTATATCAATACAAAAAACATTGTAGATGTAAGTAATATCGAAGAGCTTGGCGCAAGCCATGTTTTTGTGGTACTTCATACTTATGAGAGAGCAACTAAGCATAAATGTACACTGCTAGATACTAGGCTAACTAGAGAGAAGCAGGGGAAGTAGGGAAATACGATAAAAGATACTAAGCAACCAGCACCGGGCAGATAACTAATATTAATTAATTTTCATTATTGCAAATACAAGAATGATGTTCCGGCCAGTCTAAAGAGTGTATTCAGTGTAGCCCCGCTTGTCACAAGACATGTTGGTGGTACTCGGCCCTCCATTGACCAAACGCCATGCTATCAGTTTGCTATCAATACACCCGGCCATTCTCCAAGTATTCAAGTGGGTCTGCCTCATAGCATACCCGAGCATCTAACACTGCATGAAGACGCAGTAGCAGAGTGATACTTACAACATGAGCTCGGGCCAGGATACCTACTACGTGCTCACTCCGCATTCTGTCTCCCCCGCACTAGTAAGTTTCTAGTCTAGCGCCTCACTGCAGCGGCATTGGTCATCCTCATCTTACCCGCACTCGTCCACTCGTCATATTTATAAGCTTTGGACTCGCTCCTTCAAATACGCGAACTGTGACATAACCAACATCTCTTGTAGAAGCGATGTCATAATGGTAGTTGTGGTTCCTTGGCGTCGGCCTACAGCTCTATTTTATGCCGTAGGGCTGACCAAGCTCGCGCTCTTCGCTGTTGGTTGTAGCTACTATTGTAATGCAAGAGCAGGTTGAGTAGCACGTCTTAGGAGTCTTACACACATATATATTGACGACAATGGCTGCCTGGATGGGTATCATACAATCAGTTCACAATCATCATCACTACAGTATAATTCACTTCCGCAAATATCATAACAAGCTTCAACTTGAATAGAGTAATACAACTTACTTGCTCAACACATCAAAGTTACAACTTCGTCTACTCAACACACCAACATCTCGCATCATCTATCCTCTTCCAGATAGCCACCACAATGCGTGCATGGCAATTCAAAGCCTCCTCCGGCCCCATGGAAAAGAACCTTTCCATCCCACCCTCAGGCCTCCCCATCCCATCCATCAAAGACGACGAAGTCCTCGTCGAAAGCCATGCAACAGGCCTCAACGCAATCGACTACAAGATCCTCGAGCTCGGCCTTATCACACGTCTCGTCTTCCCCTCCATGACCCCCGGATTGGAAATCTACGGCCGAGTCACCAAAACCGGTAGCAAAGTATCCAAGTTCCGTGAAGGAGACGTAGTATTCGGCTCCATCGGCCCTGGACCCAAACACGGCGCACTTGCAGACTATGTCCCAGTGTCTCAAGACCTACTTGCACAAGCCCCAGAAGGTCTGAAAGGAGATGACCTCGTCGCCGTCTCTCTCGTTGGCATGACAGTCCACGCTGGTCTAGCTCCATACGCGAAACCCGGCAGCAAAGTTTTCATCAACGGTGGTTCCGGAGGCACAGGTATAGCGGCGGTTCAAATGGCAAAGATACTGGGCTACGAAGTCACTGCTTCGTGCTCGACGGCGAATATCGAGCTCGTCAAGAGTCTAGGCGCTGACAACGTATTGGACTACACCACTACACCAATCATCGAGCAGCTCAAGGACAGGGGCGAGGTGTTTGATCTCATACTAGATAACGTCGGTGCGCCGGCAAATCTGTATCGTGCTTCTACTCCATTTCTCCGGGCAGAAGGCAAGTTCGTACAGGTGGGGCTGGGCGTGAGCTTAAGTGGTGTTTTGCAGCTGCTTGGCAACAATATTGCAAGCCTATTGGGGTGGGGGAAGAGGGGGTATGTGTTTGTGGATGCGAAGCCAAGTAGGGCGGTTTATGAGCAGTTGGCTGTGTGGATGGTAGAGGGGAAGCTACGCGCCGTTGTTGATTCGACGTGGGAGTTTGGCGATGTGCCAAAGGCGTATGAGAGGTTGAAGACGGGAAGGGCGAGAGGAAAGGTTGTTGTGCATGTCAAGGAGGATTGAGAGTGTGGGTTGGGGGGAAAATAATTTGTTTCTTTGAGCGAGATCATGTTTGAGACAACTATTAGTTTAATCCCGGGCATAGTGAACGCCTTTGATACCTTCTATACACCTAATTGAGCATCTCTGATTTTTCACTCGCGAACTGAGCATGAACTACAAAAGACCCAAGATGATATCCTCGGATCTCGTGTTTCCCCAGGTGTAACCTAATAATGCAGGGAGCACTATACTTGGCTTGGCAGCTGAACTGCTGGGAGGTACTCCATGGCACGGACCTTCCTGGTGTAGTCCGCAATGCGACCAAACCGAGAAACCTAGTATTTAGCCATTATAATATCGTGAACACAGATTAGTTGATGGAGTATCCGGCAATAACGCCCAGGAGCAATAATTGAACTCGAGGGCCTGGAATCGTCTCAGTATCTCTGTTGACAGGACCACAGAGTGTATATAAACTTGCAAAAATGTCCATATGAAAGAAGACACTTTGCACAGCTCAAGAGCAATTCTTACAACTTCTCTTCCTCTCAAAAGAACAACCATTTGTGCTCAAAGTCGTCGGGAAAAGAATGAAGCCCAGCAACGCAATCCTCTTTCTTCTTCCCCTCGTGGCAACTGCATCACCACTGAGCAGCCCAAACCCCGACGCGGAAGCTGTTGCTGAACTTCTTCCCAGAGCCGACGCCACCTGCTATCTCCACTCTGAAGCACTTCCTTCTCAGGGTTGTGACACGACACCCTTCAGTGGCTCACGGAAGAGGACGGTCACGGGTGGCGACCGCTTTGGCGTACGCTGCACCGCTCGCGGCAAGCCTTTTGGATCTCAAGGCTATACGAAGTGGGATTGGGTTCCTGGGTGGGGATGCTGGATTTGGGCTGGATGGACGCAGATCGGTTGTGAGAGTAAGTTTTGGGATGTGGGATGAGAATGGGCGATTTGCTAATGATTTGCAGACGGTCTTCCTTACTATGACGATTACAGGAGGTGTTTGTAGGAGGCTTGAAGTGAGGAAGCTTTGTGGAGTGCAATGATGTAGAAAAATGGTCGCTCTTGGTGTGACAGTGTTGTCGCCTTTGTAGTGGATGGAGCGGAGGTTTCAAATTTGGGTTTCCGCCAGTTCACCAGCATATAAAAATGGCCTTGGTGTATCATCAACACAAGTATCGTTTACACACTGCTTCAATCGTCAGTCTCTTGTAATAACAATTGGTTGCTTTTCTGTCAAGACACTGTCATGTTCTCTATATTCAATGCAGTATCAGTGCATCCGTATGTTGATTTTTTGTGAATGTGTCTCTTTGTACCATTGCCTGTAAATATTTTCCAGAAGAGATGTAGTTGCTCCGACATGAGTCGTAAAGCAGACGACATAAGAGACCGGGAAAATGCGGCATGACGTTGGTCTTGGCGCTACAAAAAGTTCGGAAGCTTTCCGAAATCCAACAATGTCAAACTTTCAACATGCGCACAATATCGAGGAGTGCACAACCTCTGTTCGCGTCAGTTAGCCCTTTAAAGCAGACGAATCGCATACATGTACTCAATGCGACACCCTTGCCGTCATGGACGCGCTCATTCCACGCTTCTGCAAACTTGAGGGCCGTTGACCTTGCGTATCGGCTTCACGATGACTCGGGCAAGGCCAAGGGCGATCCAATTGTGATGATACACGGTTTGTTTGGCAGCAAGCGGAACAACCAGAGTGTTGGAAAGTATGCGCAAATCATTCTACACTTTCATTCGTAGACAAAACTAATTCACTCCCAGTGCAATCGCACGCATCCTCAAACGACCCGTCTACGCCATCGACACCCGAAACCACGGCGATTCCCCCCACGACAATGTCCACAACTACACTGCGCTCGCCGAGGACGTCGAAGCCTTTCTGGAAAAGCATGAACTGAAAAATCCAACGCTGATAGGGCACTCCATGGGCGCAAAAACCATCATGGCAATGGCCCTCCGCAACCCAGATTGCTGCGCTAACATTATCCCTGTGGACAACGCACCCGTCGATGCGGCGCTCTCGAGCGACTTCCCCAAGTACGCAGAAGGCATGCAAGCCGTGGAGAAGGCGCAGCCCAAGAGCCAAAAAGAGGCAGATAAGGTGATGGAGCCTTACGCAAAGGATCTAGCAGTCCGTCAATTCCTACTCTCGAACCTTGTACGAGGCGCACCCGGCGAACCCCTCAAATTCCGCATCCCAGTCCGTATTTTGACGAAAGCCCTGAATAACATGGCTGACTTCCCGTTTACGAACCCGGATGAGGTGTCGTTTCATAAACCGGCGCTATTCATTCGCGGGACGAAGAGTCACTATGTGAGCGATGAGACGTTGCCGATTATTGGGCGGTTCTTTCCTCGGTTCGAGCTTGTGGATATTGATGCAGGACATTGGGTTACTAGTGAGAAGCCTGAGCAGTTTATCAATGGTGAGTTTGAACAATGTGTGGCTATAGGAAATTTTACTAACGGAGTCGTAGCGGTTGTGGAGTTTCTGCAGGAGAAGGAGTAGATACCCAGGATTGGAGTGGCTTTTTGGATAAGGTCTACGTTTAATCAATCTATTCATTTATCCCTGTCATGAGTTTTCTTGTTTTCCATAGACGACCTGCACGCTGCATGACTTTATGTCAAAGTATAGAAATAGGGGATATCATTCTTATGCCAACTGAGAAAACACTACTACCTGCACGCATTCACTACCTCCTTTATCTCCGCGAAGTACCTCCGAACCCAGTACTCTCATGTCTAGTACTGGAATAGCTGTCCCCAGACGAACTCCTCGAGCTGCCCTCACCACCATTATTCCAGCGACTCCCGCTTCCACTACCACTGTTGGAACCCCATCCACCACCTTGATAACTCCTACTGCTATTACCCCGGTTAGCGAACTGTCCAGCAGCCCAGCCAGCAGCCGCACCGCCCGCAGCACCAGACCAGAATCCCGGTCTCCAGCCCTGATTAGTTCCGTATCCCGACTTTGAGTTCCTAGGGTCATTCGGATAGTATGGTGGCGGCGGGTCATTGTTATCGTCGTTGTCGCCTCCTCCCCATCCACCTCCACCGCCGCCTCCACCCCAACCAGGTCGATTTCCACCAGCAGCGCCACCATTCTGTGCTTCTGCACGGTTCCGCAGTGCAGAGTAAATCATCCAGAGTACAACGCCACCAAACAACATCCAAAACAAAACTCCCGCAACCTTCTCGCCTGTAGTCCGCGGACCATCACGTCGATCATCATCGTCGCCCTGCCATCCGCCTCTTCCTTTGCCGTATCGCTCGCGGCCCTTGTCAGTAAGGATGAGTCTGTATTCGACCCCACAGCTGCCTTTCAAGATGTACGGGTCCTCGGGATAGTCGTAGCCTTCGCAGATGACGTCTGTGGAGCCGAGTTTGAATTCTTCAGGTAGCGAGGCTGTGCAAGTCCACTGGATGGAGTTTTCGTCGTAATCGGAGCCGCTATTCTTGCAGCGCATAATCTCAGGCTCATAGAGGCCACGAGCAGAGCCACCGATGCATTTCAGCTGTACGTGTTATGTCAGTATTTTCAAGTGGTGGGTGTGTGTTTGGAATGCTCACGTACCTGAGGAATTGGGTCGACGCGGCGCGCAGATGTTTGCTGTCCCTTGCGCAAAGTGAGACTTTGGATGTTGGAAAGCTTCACTTTGTCTGATCGGAGAGCTTCAGCGCCACTGGCGGCCAGCAACGCCGGGTACAAGAAGTTGGAGATATGCATGTCGTTTGAAGGAAGCCCTAGGCGATGAAGAGTCTCAACACCGACATGTAAGGTACGTAGTAGGTTATGAAGAACTCCACAGGTGGCAACAACACGTGGCAGGACACCGTAGCAATAAGTAGAAAGGATGCCTTGCGCGCGCCGGGGGGCAGTGTTGATTCTAGAAACCCAGCGTGGCGGCGCCAGCCAAAAAGACCCGATGACGCAAACGTCCGCGACGCACGTCCCCCCATACCCACGTCTAGCGGTGCCATCTTACGCTACGGGGGTAGATCCGGACTAGCGGCGTGTGCGTGCCTCCCGCTCGTGTGGGTAGACATAGCTCGCCGCGTTAGACATGGGACGAACAAACTGTTAGCAAATCCCACACAAAAGCCCCATCATCAACAACAACGATCATGAAACAGCGCATCACATACATAGTGCATAACTCCGACACCTTCTCGCCCGAGCAACTTGAAGTCGGGGCTGACAAGCGAGGTCCCGTGTTTGCGTTGAAGGGCATCGAGGCGGCCAAGGAACACCGTATCACACTTGGGTTGGATGAGCTGCCTAAGCAAGTATGTTGACCAAACATCCATTCACAACGCCATTGTTTGAGGGAAATGAGATGAGCTGATTACAGGAGCGATGTAGTTGAAATTCTTCTTCTCACAATGGCATGAAATGCATCTGCGATGGCAATCGCCCAAATCGTACATTGCAACACCGCCGTTTACATCACGTGCCTCACCGGGTCTGCACGCCTTCTTTACGCCGCTGGGTGATACGTCTGACGATGCGTTTTGCTTGGCACTTCATGAGTTGGTGTCGTCCGAGTTGAAATGTTCGACTACGTCGCAGAGTGCGACAAAGGTGCCTGTGCTGTCTGAGCGGTTTGCCATGTCTGCTTCGTTGCAGTTTTATGGGCATTTGGGAGAGATTGAGGGGATGAAGGAGGACTTGCAGCGGGTGCTTTGTCGAGGGAAAGAGAAGGGGTATTGTGTGGATATGGTGGGGGAGATTGTTACGGCAAGGTATGTTGATGTGGATTACGATACCATCTCACAGGCGGTGGTTGTGACTGCGGGATGGCCGCACGCACACGAGGAAGGAAGGGGATGGACCGATGAGATACGGTTACCGAGTAAAGACGCCACGGTCGAGATAGGAGTGCTGAATCTGGAGGGAAACACTGATCCCGAAGACATTCAATTCGGTGGTTTCCTGACGGTGTTGGGCGAAGACGAGAAACCAAGTACGTTCTTGACATGCCACCAACCAACCATCTACACAAAGAACCCAGCTAACTCAAGCAACAGAACCCACACGCTTCCAAACCCCAACCCGCCACTATCCCCACGTCGCCCCCTCCAAAAACCCCACTGTCAAACCATCTCCCCACCCCCTAACCTACACCACCAGCCTCAACCAACCCACCGGTCTCCACCCAACCCTAACCCTCACCTTCCCCGCCCAAAACCTCACCACCCCAGCCCCCGGCTGCAAACTCCACACCTACCTAACCCTCCCCTCCTACCTCTTCATCGACCAATACCAATTCAACGACTCCCTCTTCCTCGCCTCCAAGCACCTCAAGCGCCTGCGCTCCCTATCCGGCGCCACCGACCTCGAAGCCCCCGACTGGTCCGTTTCCCCCTGGGGCTCAGCCGCCTTATTCGAACTCACAGTGCCCAAACCTGAGAAGATAGAGTACCCAGAGGTCGATGTCGGCCCCGACGAGAACATCTGGGAGGGCCTACCGACGCACAAAGAGATTCCAGAAGGTGACTGGAACGTTAGTATTCCGCTGCATACACGCTACTTACCTGCTGCGCCGTCTACGCATGCCACGTTGCCGGTGCCGTGGCCGGTGGTGTTTTGGGCGTGTAGAGCCGAGTCTGGGGCGCAGCATCCGTCGAATCCGTTTGATAGGGTGCATCTTGGGTATGAGGGCTTGTTTGGGCCCAAGACGAGGTTTATGACTGTGCAGCCTAAAGTTGAGGGCGAGAAGGAGCTGGTGGAGTGGATTGATGTGCCGGTGTTGGATACGAGGCAAGCTGGGTGGGTTAGGGCAGGGACGATGGGAGTGGTGTTTGCGGCGTTTTTGGGGCTGTGTTGGGTGTTGTTTGGGGGTGGGGCGAGGAAGGCAGGTACGGGGAAGAAGGAAGGTGAGGGGAAGAAGACGCAGTAGTGGACATCGCTGTAGAGTGCTTGATGAGGTCAGGTAGTGTTGGAGCTCTGTTTGCTCCCTCGCTGTCATGCAGCATTATTATTTGGGTATCTCTTCTCTAGCTATACATGGTTCTCTGATGTCCGGGACTGCATATCAGGAATTCCCAGCCTATAGTTATTCAACTTCCCATTTCTCCAAGTCTTTCTACACTACCGTCACGGGCGCGTCGACAGGGATGCTTGGAATAATGGGCACTGGGGTGCCTGGGAAGATGGGGTGAAGAGCATAAACTGGGCCTGCACTGTCTTCGCCGTCAAACAGCATCAAGTTCTGGATTGGCTGTTCCCGCTGGCCCAACACGTTGATGACGTCTTGTGCCAGTTGGCCGCCCAAGAAGGCTGTAACGGGCGCCAGCTCGCTGCCCAGATTCTGTAAAAAGCTTCTCAGGACATCGGCCCTGAGCGTTTCCGCAGGGAGGAGAAGCTCCTTGTGCTTGACGTTGGCAATGGTGGTAAAGAGCTGGAGGTCCTGAGGCGTGTGAGACGGGTAGATGCCATGGCCGTTGCGCTGGTACTCCCAGAGCGCACGTACACAGGTGAGGAGTGGGTGCACCCTCTTCAGCCTCCTAGGGTTATTTGCAATGTTACTGGGCAAGGGTGAATCTTTGGCCAGCATGAGTGGGCTGTAAAGCTCCTGCTTGGTGACAAGCTCAACGACCTTTCCATTCTCCCTTTTTACCTGGACGTCCTTGACGCGTCTGGTTGTAGTCTCCGGGCCGATCTGAGTGTCGCGATTGCTCTTTTCGCGCTCAATAACAAAGTTGTGCTCGACAAGGTCGGCGAAGATGTAGCCGTACATGCCATGGGATGCGCCCACGTAAAGGGGCTTCTTTGCTATGCGCGCGCCTGCGTTGAGGGCCGATGTGGAGAGAAAGTCCATGTCGGTGGCTATGATGACGTCGTAGGCAGCATAGAAGCCGGGATCTTGCTCCATGCGAATGTCGGTCGTGATTGTTTTCACGACGACGCGTGGGTTGAGCTTCTCGACCTGAGGCCTTGCAGCTTCGGCGCGGTTCTTGCCTACGTCGGCATCGCTGATGAAGAAGGACGCGCCCAGGTCTTCTTCTGTGACATTTTCGTGGTCGGCGAGGGTGATGGAGCCAATGCCGGCGAGGACGAGGTTCTTTGCGATTTCGTTTGCGAGGGCCTTGATAGAGACAAGGAGGATGTTTGCGGTGCGAATCTTTTGCTGGGCTTGGACACCCCAGAGGCGGATCTGGCGGTCGTAGAGGGCGATTTCGTCTGCGGAAATCTGGCTGGCCTGGGCAATGGCAGCGACCGTCTGACCAGCCGCGTTTTCGGCAGGGAGAGCGCCATTGGTTGCGGGCGGAGGTATCGCGGCGGGCTCGGTCAGGTCGGCCATGGTTTGTAAGAGGGCAAGAGTAAGAGTGGAAGTGGATGGGGGCGAGGAGAAGAAGGCGAGGGCCAGGGCAGAAGAAGCCAATTAAGCGGTGGAATGACGTAGGTGAGGCAGGCGAAGTGGAGGTGAGAGGCAGGTTGCAGTGCAGTCGCCAACTACCATGCTATGTACTACTATGTTTGTATGCAAGTTTGTATACTTAAACGGACAAAGGCTATTTAGAGCGTCGGAATGGAATGCGGCTCTGCAGCCCACTTACTCCACAAATACATACTACGTACGTAGCCCCCACCCCGCGACTGGCCATTGGCAACGGGCATGGGCGCTGATGCTGGACGGCATCAGCCACAGTGTACGAGAGGTCATCCTTCACCCTGCCCGCCCGTCCCCAGTTCCCTGCTCGCCCGTTACCGAGACCAGACATGCGGCATCCATAGTACGCATCCATATGTAATAGCGCAATCTGGTCCCCGACTCCAACGTCGATACTACATACGTATATACAACATCTCCGCCCACACCTCCACCTATATCAGCCTCTGCTCTCCACGCCCGATCTCGCCCTCTCCCCTCGCTCATGCTCAGCCGCGCCGACGTCACCAACCATGCCTAGACCACCCCCGTCGCCATCACCGCCCCCCGCAACTTTCCCCTTCACCACGGGCAGCTTCGACTTCCCCCATGCCTCGCCCTCGCCGCCAAGGGCCACCCGCCCGCCCAGCACATCGTCGTCACGCAATGGGCCGCGCTCCATGACGGGCCAGCAAAGTGCCGCGCACCATGAGGCGTCGGCGGCCGCACCACCGCGAGAGCCCCCCAGGCGTGCGCGCGCTCGCACATCCACCCGACGAGGCCCACTGCACCGCATTTTTGGCCCTCCACGTGACAGCGCTGTTGCTCCCGATAATTTGTCGCGCCGCCCTCCCACGGCCAACCCCAGCCGCCCCCGGGCGACACCGAGCGAACGCTACCTCCGCCGCTCCCAAGCCCGCATCCGCGAACAGCGCTCAGCCGCCATGGACCTGACCAACGACATGCCAGACTCGCTGAGTGACGTGCCCATCAACAACCCCTTCACCGCCAATGTAAATGCAAACATGCTCGCCCGCCCCCGGAGCCCAATCGTCCAGGTCAACAGCGAGCGCACCCACAAGCGCAGGAAGCTCCACCACGACACGACCAGCCCCGCCGAGTACATGTGCTTCAAGTATGGCCACAAGGGCCAGGTCGTGCCAGGACGCCTGCGTATGGAAGTCGTGAGCTGTGACGGCGGCGAGCATCGTAGGGACAACCCCCCAGGCCTATACAGAGTCCAAAATGTCTTGAGGAACGACAAGAGTGTCTATTGCAGCGAGAGCTCGCAGTGCAACCTGCTGCTCAAACACATTGGCGAGGCCCCTTTTGCCCTAGAAAAGGTCGTCATTCGAGCACCGGACCGTGGATTTACGGCTCCGTACGTGTCTCCTATTGATCATATGGTCCTACTGCTAACCTCGTGCCAGTGTCCAAGAAGGTCTTGTTTTCGTGTCCATGTCTGCAGATGATCTCTTATCAGGCACGTCTGCATACAGTCTGCATTATGATAATCGCTCCCCCCTTATATCCCCTACACCTAGCCTGCCCAACGAAGACAATGAGCAGATATCTCTGCGGGAGGCTCTTGAAGATCCGTCCGTATGGCAGTATTCCCGCCAAGGCACTCAAGAAGTCATGGAAGAACGCATCGAGAATCTCCGTCTCCGCAGTGAAAGGCTAAACGCAGAATCCGCAAACCTGATATCCTCATTGCGCTCCGACTCAGACCGTCGACGTGTATTGCGTCAGATGGTCGAGCATGAAGACGAGGCCGAAGCCGAAAACTGTGACCATGTAGCAGATGATTCTTACAGCCCTGCTGCTGGCATTTCTGCTCCTACCCCGCCACCCTTCACCGTCACAACAGCCGCTAGCGAAGATGACGAGTCGGACTCTAACGAAGAACTCCCCAGTGCTGCCATCATGGCAGACCGTCTGCGAAGAGAGAGTCGTTGGCACCCAGAGAGCGATGATGAAGATGACGAGACAGCTCCGCGCATGCCATCTCTCCGTCGAGCACCCGCGTTGGAATACAGTCAGTACGGTGGCGAATGGAGAGAACGAAGAGAGCGGTACATCGAGCCAATTCGTGCGTCGCGCATTACTGCGCCCAGTCGTATCGAACCATCCGAGCGCACACCAGCTGCCGAACCTCCCATTGCTCCGCATGCACGTTTTTTTATTGCAAAGAACAAGAACAAGATTACTATCAAGTTCCACCCAGCCATGTGAGTTTGAAAACAAACACCTTAAGATGGCTTATGCTGACGCTGGCTATGCAGTTCGGGGAGGCATGTCCTACTTAAATTCTGGAGTCCCAAACGTGACGGCAACATTGACATTGAGAGTGTTCAGTTCTATGGCTATTCGGGTCCTCGGTATTTCCCTGCTGTTCAACCACGGTAAACTGCAAAGTTTTTGCCATTCATGACATGACTATCCGTGTCTTATCAACATTTATATTTGCACCAAGGATGAGACAACGTAGTCTATAATGTTTCTTTAGGAACTGCACATAACACATATGGTCTGGGCCTGTGCCTACTGTTATGTACGAAATGATACCCAGATACAGTGTATGACTGTAATATTTATAGGAAAAAAATAACAGCTTCGTAAGATGGTTGCTACCATAGGATAATGTGAACTTCTACAACGGCTGTTGAGTGATGTGTGTAATGAGCATGACAATATTAGTACCGACGCCTAGTTTACCCCTTGTGTGCTTACAAGGGAAGGAGCACTAGAGCAACTAAATCACGTGATCGTCCTCCAAGAACATGATCCAACCACAACGGAACACCCGACTTTCGTCTGACTCCCCTTACCAATTTGTGACGAGACTTGTTTCTCAAAAACTCGGCGGTTCTAGAGAAAAAATCGAAACAGCAGAATTATGAACTACACCCTTTCAAAGCTGTACTAAAATAAAGGGTGTGTATCTCGGCAGTTTCTCCGCACAAACGGTGTGATCTTTGAAACGCATTAGGCTGGTCGTAAGTACATCTTAAGCGATATTTAGAAGCAATGTCATGTTTAGACATCTATGAGGGGGCTGTACGCGCTATGGCTGGCGGCTACGGCCTCTACTGATCACCTGGCCTTGGACAGCTCTTATTCCCAGTCAAGCAGGCAGCCGTTTCCTGACTTCCTTGTCCCCCCCCCAAACAACTCCACACCATGGAATAAGCAATATGTTTTACCAAAATTTTAGTACTTAGATTGCCCACATCAGTGGCTCTTCCAGTCTAGGTTCAGGAATTCGTCGATAAGTCCTTCGCTTAAACATGTCGCCAAGTCAGAAACGGCGCCGACGTGGCTTTGAATACAGTCCTCTGCAATCCAACAGTTTCAGATTACTAGAGCTCATTCCTGGACAAAGCCTATCCGCCGATATTCATTGCAGGCTTCAGGACTATCAGCTAGATTTAGCGCCGCCATACGAAGCTTTCTCATGTACGTGGGGTGATAAGAAGAGTATGTGCCGGATATCATTGAACGATTTATCCTTTCATATCCGACCAAACCTTGGAAATGTGTTGCGTCGCCTGCGGCAATCTTCAAGCACAAGAATCCTCTGGATTGATGCAATATGCATCAACCAAAGTAACGAGGACGAGAAAAGCATTCAAGTGCCTCTAACGGGAAATATATATACTAGAGCAGAACAGGCGATTGCGTGACTTGGTGAAGAGACGGTTGAGAGTGGGGTAGCTCTTGATTTCATTCCAGAGTTGACCAAAATCGCTAAAATCGACGACGAGTCCACCTGGCTGTCACACCTTGATGATGACAAATTTCTTCGGCGATTGATATCCCTTTATCACCTATTCATCCATCCCTGGTGGCAAAGAATGTGGATAGTCCAAGAAGTGGCACTAGTTCCGGATGTCCTTGTTTTATGCGGCTCTCGTCATGTTCGTTGGTCGATATTCCATTACTTCACTATAGCATGGATGATTATTGAGCATATGCCGCAGGAACACAGGTTGAAAAAACTTCAAATAATTGCAGTTCGTGCCCTCGGCATCTACGTCTCTAGCTTTGCAGAGGCATTAACGAGACTGCGCCAACAACATCAAAATATTTTCTTTACACCTGTGCTACTCAAACTGTCAAACTTGCCATGGTCATTCAAAGACCGATCGGCAACAGATCGTAGAGACAAGATTTATGGCCTGTTAGGCCTTCTTGGTGACCACGGAGTTCAGGTGGACTACGGTAAACCATCCGAGGATATATACCTATCGTTCTCCTCCTCGTTCTTGTTGGAAGACAAAGGTCTGGACTTGTTTCGTTGGGTGACTGGAGAGGACTACGAGTCTAAGAATCCACGTCTTCCATCCTGGGTTCCCGATTTTGGTCCAAGATCTATTAGACCAATCTCTTCTTTTCTGCCTAACCAATATATAGGAGAGTCGCAGCGAATATTCATGATAGCTGGACCAGACCGGTCAAGATAATTGTCTGCTATTCAGTTTGGAGATGACCCTCGTACGCTGATTCTCCTAGGCCATCTGTTTGACGTGGTCAGCCAATGCGGATCGGATTACCCCTCCTCAGATGATATCGGTCTTGCTGGCCACGAAATCAGACCGATCCTTGACCCCTGGAAAAACATGTCTGTGAACATTCAGTCTGAAATGTATCGTTCGTCTAATACTAAAGAGGATGCCTTTTGGAGAACAATTTTGACCGACCGACAGATTGAAGGGCTCCATTTCAAGGAAAATGCCGGATGGGTCCCAGCACAGCGACTCTCAGTAGATGCACAATACATCCCACCCAAAACCACAAAGGAGGAGGAAGATTTGTTGCAAGCTATGGAGCAACGACAACTTTGCTTGGATAGACGAAGGTTTTGTATAACTAAGAAGGGTCATTTCTGCTTATTGCCACCAACCGCTTCCGAAAAGGATGTGATCTGCGTATTGCTGGGCGGAGAGGTGCCCTACGTACTGAGGCGTACCGCTGATCAAAGCCAAGATTCATATACGATGGTGGGAGAATGGTGAGCTGTCACCTCACTGCGTACTATTTTCCATCACTGGCTGGGCTATTAGTTATGTGCATGGAATCATGGATAGTGAGGCTATTGTCGACATTCTGGAAGGCAAAGACAAGGGCGATATTTTCAGGCTATGTTGAGGGTAAATCTGTTTACGAGAAATAATATGTAAGAATATGCCTCACTAATTGTTTGGAGCCCACATCGTTTCTTTTAGAACAACGGAGTTTTTTGCCATGACCGAGAGGCACAGTAGCGTTGTACGAGCAGCCAGAGTCTATATTCCATGATTGTATATATGGACTGAAGTAGTAAATATTGTTTCGTTACAGGGGTGGCCCCGTTATGGTTGGATGTACGTAACTCCAAAAGCCGGATCAACAGTATATCACCTTATCAACAACACGACGACCGCTAATAGTAAATGATTACAGGACAGGATAGTTGTATGGGAAGGTAGGAATGATGCTGCACCGGCAAACGCATTTATATATGGCTGAGATTGACGCACGTCTACGCACGGCTCAAGCGGCATTTTCGATTTCGTATTATGCTACTCGCCCCGCCACAGCTACGTAACTGCTGCGCCACGATATTGCTTATACGCTGCTCGCACGGCCGAAGCCTTATTCGACCTTCCCATGACGAATGTGGCTAATTAAGCCACAGATACTAACTATGCTGTTTGCATAAACGCCTTGGCCTATGAAACAAAACCAAAAACGCTCCGGTCGTCGCCGTGGAAGCCGACAGCATCATATTCTGCACAAGCCATGCTTCGGTCGAACCTTTGTCTTCTGAGATGGATCACCCATCGTGCCGATACGCAACAGTAGTTTAAATGGGACTAGAGAAATGGCTTCTGCAACTAGATGTCATTGAAATGGAATCTCCTAACGACCCGTTCCAGATGTTGTACAAGCTGGTGTCACTCAAATACTGTACTAGCGGACTATCTGCACCCAATGAAGTGTACTAAGCTTGGATCACATAAGTGCTGTTGTGTTGGTGCAGAAACAGGTTCTGCTCAAAGACGCGTCTCAGTGGAACACATCAGCTGTTCGATGATCGACTAACCGTCTTTCTACCAATCGTACCGCTAGACAACGTAGCTCGGAAATGGCTCAAAGCCAGAAGGCGTATATTCGGCCACGCCACTGCAAATAGCCAAACATCAATGGTCTAGCCTCAGAAGCATTCACATTCCAGCCGCTAGACGTCTTAACTCTGTATGTTTGTATATACGTATGTATGTACACAATTATGAATAACATGGTCAAACTCATCCAAATTCCACTCCACACAGTTGACCGCTAGGCTGTGGGGTACATGGGACAAGCTTTCTGTGATCAGCATGATCGCTCGGCTGTTCGGCTGGCGCCATGCTAAAGTATACTAAACACTGCGAGTCAGTCTAGGCACCGCCACACTTTGGATGGAACAAGCAATTACATCGTTAGACTTGATGATCTAGGCATGATTCAACAAGCGCTTGGGGCAGAACCGGATATTCCGGCTTCGCGTTTGGTACTGGAACGCAATGCAGTAAACAAGGTCCCAGCAAGAACAGAACAGGAAATGTGCTGGACAAATCATGGTATAAGAAGGACCTCGAATGCTCATACAAATCGAGCTTCCAACCATCAAGTCTTAACTCCATCATCATCCAGTCACTACAAAAACCCTTAAACTCACACACATACTCACTCTTTAATTCTTTTCCAAAGAAGAAAACAACAACAACAACTCAAAATGCTCTTCACCAAGGTCTCCATTGTCTGCGCCCTTGCGGCCTTTGCCACCGCCGCCGACGTTACTATTACGAGCACCAAAGTCAACACTGCCACTGACACCAAGACGGCCGTCATCGTCACCAGCACCAGCACCAGCACACAAACTAGCACCCACACTAGCAACCCTGCTCCCACCATGACTGCCGGCGTAGCCGTCGGTATCGGTGCTATTGGTATCGCTGCTTTGGGCCTGTTGTAAACACAATTCACCATTTCTTTTTACAATTCTGAACACGGTGCGTGGGACATAACATGTATGATATGATATTGAAGGGGTTATTGGATAAGTGTGGGTGGGAATTGGGGAGGACAATGGGGAGATCCTGTATATAGGTGCATGGATTAATGGAATTTTATTCATCTGGAACTTCTTTCACTTTCTGTGTTTGCGTGATTTTTGAGGTGTAGTTGGACGCGTAAGCAGGTTTTCCATCATCGTTTCGTACGAGATTCGTGTCATTCTCGTATTTCTTCTGCATGTTGTGATTGGATGAAAGACGGTCCACCAAGGTTTGTAGCAGAACGGAACACACGTGATGTGTGACTTGATGTACTTACCGCCTAGCTTGGCTTGACATGAGTCTGCTTCCTTTCGTATAGCTCTGGTGCTTTCCTTGTACACCTACTAGCGGACAATTCGAGCTTCGTGAATAATATGTATCCCGTTGCCTCCTTTACTTTCATCATCTAACATCATCGTCTTTTTCTTCGTTTCCCCTGACCCATAGTAATTCACCATCACAAATCACATGTCCGCTCTACCATAATATCCAAAATATTTACACACAAAGTCACTGCCAACTCCCATCTATTGCCTTATGCCTGTGTCCCTTTCTCAGTAAAAAAGTGGGGAAAACCCCTCAAAACTACTGCAACACACCCAAGTACCCTTCTCTCCCCATACTCCGCAGAGAAAACACAAGAACAACCCCACACTCTCCACCTAACCGCTCACAACCTCCAGAAAGCCAAACTAACCCATACTCTGCACCCGCACTCTAATCCCCGTACGAGATATTAAACAACACACGGGACCCAACCCAGCATCCAGCTTGGCCCCTAGCACCCGCCCTAACCACCCCCAGTCTGCCCTCACAAGACCCTAATTTCCGATCTCAGCCGTGCCCTCACCCTACCAACAAACTCATCTCCACTCCGAAAAAGATCCCCAAGAAACATCATTTGAGTCTATACCAGACTACATGGTCCTACCACATTGACCTTACGATTCAAATATGGCATGAGGTTTCGACATACCGCACTGAAAGAGAACGCGGGTTAGAAAAAAACAGGCGGGTTGAATGGGAAGGACGGCACAAGCGGGGAAACGGGATAACCTATACTTTTCCTTTCTGGAGAAAAAGAAAATGACGTACAGGGCTGGTGTTTGTTGTCCCGGGATTTGCTTACAGGTATAGTATGCGGGTTTTATAGGTAATTTTGGAGTTGGAGTGTATGTATGCGGGGGGGTGTAATGTCCGGTGTTTTGTTTGGGAATATGGAAGGGGGTGAGAGGGTTTGATTATTTGGCGGGTGAGTTTTATGCTCGTCGGTGTTTTGAGGGGAGGGGGGGTGAGGAGAGTGGAATGTTGATTTTTCTCGATTGAATTGGATTGGATTGGTATGAGGACCATGGGGAAGTTGATGGTAGCTAGTTTTACACGTACAAGTACATGTGGATATCGGGAGGCTGACGCCGTCTTCTTGAACAAATGCCTGTTAAAGTCTGATCTTGTGTGCACTCAGGAAAGAAAAGGGAGGGATCAAGAAATTGTAGGTAAAAAACTTTCATTCATGAAGTAGACCCAGCAAAGCGTTTCACGGCCAAATGAGTCTGAAAAATAGATATAATTTATGAATAGAAGATAACGATCAAAGGCCAGTCAAGGCTTTGATTCAAGAAAAAAGTGGCTAAATGTAAAAGAAAAGAATATGTCACAAAAAAGGTTCGTCGAAATCCGATCATCAAGAGAATAAAGCTACTGCAACTTTTTGGGTCCAGCTATCCACCTACTGAAATTACCCTCGCTTAAGCAAAGTTGCTGGTGCCAGCCTTGGTGGTGCCAGCGGCAACGCTGACACCCTTGATGATGATAGATTGGCCGCCGGAGCTGGTAATCTTGACGTCGACAGAGTCGGTACCGAAGCCAGCCGAGTTCTCGAAGAAGTTGTAAGGCTGCCTCTTGGTGCCCTTCCAGGTCTTGCCACCGTCGGTCGAGACATCGAGAGATGTGACCTGGACGTTGGAGTTCATAACTTGCATGGAGAACCAGTGGGCGCTGGTACCGGACTTGTTCTTGAGGACAATGGGAGTGGTGATACCGCAAGGAACAACCTCCCAAGAGACGGGGATTATTCCCTTGGAGGGATCAGCGAGCTTCTTGAAAGCATCGGGGAAGAGATCGACGTGGTGGGGACCGCAGCCAGGGCATTGATCGACGACCATGGCAGTGATCTTGTTGCCAGAAGGACCAGTCACGCTAACGCAGGTACCGCAAGCGTTGGCGCTATCCCAGTCAGAGTCGGTCAGCGCAGTGCCAAAGAGGCCACTGGGGAGCGTGTATCCTGTGAAGGAACACATGCCACCATCGAGGTTACCGCCATAGAAGGTAGCTTCGCCGCGCTTAGAGCCTGCGGAAGAGGTGTTGGGAGAGGCCTTGGGGGAGACAGCCGCAGCAGCCGCAGAGGCAGCCGAGGGGTACGGGACTGGCGAGCCAGCGGGCGGAGCAGCAGTGGGATACGCAACTGGGGTCTTGCTCTCAGAAGTGGCCTTTCCTGCCGGGCTGGACTCCAATTGGAAACTTGGGAGAGGAACTCCGGAAGGGGAGGGTGATGCGGACGCGAGTGGAGCGGAGGATGGGGTAGCTGCACATTCCGAAGCTGTTGGGCGGACAGTCACAGTGACGTAGTCGTCGATGGTGCTAGTCGAGGTCGAAGGCTTTGGAGGCATTGAACCATAACCAGGTGCATTGACGGTGACGTAGACCTTTTCATAGGTGGTGGCAGTGACAGTAGGTCTTGAGCAGGTGCTGGGCTTTGTGGCCGTGACATCTGCAACCTTTGCGGCTGTAGCAGTCTCATACACAGTCTCGTACTCGGTCTTAGTGTAAGTTTGGACAGAGCAGTACGACTCGGCGGCAGCGAGGCCCGCAATGGGGAGGATGGAGAAGATGGTGGACTTCATCGTGTCTGACTTCTAGTCGACAGTTTAGTTGTGACAAGGAATGTGATGAATCGTATCAACGAGTTCAGGTAATGAGTGACAGCAGCGCAGCGGCTTGGAAAAGAGTGACTGGATGGAGCAGAAAGAATGACTAGAGTTTGGCTTTGCCACGAGGCGGACGAGATAAATGAAAACTCGACCAACAGAGAGCGCCCCCGCCCAGGTACATAAACACCCAGGTCCGGCTGACACCTCATTTCACGAGAGCAGGGCAGCGGCAACGCGCTCGGACAAACTCCCTTGTGGAGATTTGGTCCCGGAAGCGACTGGAAATAAGCTCATCTCCTGTTTGATGTTCCCTTGTTCAACCTGCCAAAGACGGGTAATTTTGTCGCACGAGCAGCGCATTGTGCCTTTTGCAAGCTGTCCCCATGCCCGAAATATACTCTGACAAGCCGGTGTCTGGGATTTGGACGAGCTAAGGTTGTTTCAGAAAAAGGCTTGAGTAATGCTTGGCGCAATGGTAACTGGAGGGCCGTGGGTGATGAGGTGCTAGGATGAAGGATGCGCTAAGGAAAATCAAACAGCGAGATAACGAGGCGGCAACACATTGAGCAGAATTTCATATTCCTTGCTCGGCAGCCAACTTCTCAGAACATAAAGCGACGAGCAAGCTCTTGCGGTTCATCGCGGCGGTGTTGCGAAAAGTGATGTTCGCTGTCCATGCGCATGCAGTACGGGTGCCATGCAGGTACAAGATGTGCCTGAGGACCGAGGCGTTTCCAGCGAACACCTTGTACGTAGCAGCGTTCGGAACTTTATCGGCGCAACGACGAAACCGCATACATGGTTCCTACCGACGGGTCTAGAGCCGACCCATTGCAAATAATACCGCACATTGCCGGTGGATATTGAAATGTATGTTCTTAGGTGGATATCATAGCGAGTCTCGGCACAACTTCTGCTCTGCTGTAATGTTAGGCCCGCTAGAAAGACCAAAACAATACTTCGCCAGCTGCAAATGTCCCAATGCGGTGCGTGGCGCAGGTTGAATTGATCGTGCTTGTTTGTGAGAAAGCCGAGATACCACGGAAAATACCGATGACAGTGCCTGTTGTGGGAAAACATTGGGGTCCAAAAAGGACGTCAACAATCCCCGATGTACACATATACGTACTTTTATGGCAACCAAGTATTCCCCCTATACAGGATAACGGCATTCTTTTCCGTGATGCCCAGTGTAGTCGCCGCGTATTGATGGTATGTTTAGCGTGGCGCCAAGGCGAAAATAGAGTCGCCAGTTATAAGTGTTCATCGCTCTCGATTTCTATTCGACCCGACTTGCATGGTACTCTATGGTATCCGCTTTTGCAGTATTGGCATATTATATCCCTTGCGTTCTAGCACCTGATGTTCATTCGACAATGATACAGAAGTTATTCATGCCTGGGCCGTCTCGTATCTTCTTCTTTTCCGTGGTCGCCTTAGTGGGCTCCCTTGTCAAAACGAACATATAGTAACAAAGTTTTGACGTCTTCTTACTGAACGTCATACTGAAGCCAAGGCGACCCATGATTTGCAGAAGTAGTTCTTCGTCCAGGTAGCGGGAGTTGTCGACACATGGAAGTGGTAGAACGAAGAACAGTGCTGGTAGTGCAAGCAGAGAATCATCCGCTTTCACAGTGCTCCTTCGCATGAACTTGGTAATACGCTTTAACATTTCACCTCGGCCAGTAGCATCCGGTACATAGTTGAGTACTAGCGATAAGGAGATGATATCGAAGCGTTCGCTGTCAGCCGTTGGAAGTGGTCGTTGCATGAAATCTTGTTTCTCTATACCCGGTCCCTGGCTGTTGAGGTCGATCCTTGTCATATCGATGACACTAGAGTACTTCGAGATCTCATTCTTAGTTGACAGAGCGCCAATTTCCAAGCATCGAAGTTTGTGAATGATGTGACTTCGTTCTTTTACAGCTAGCACGTGCGATTTTTGCAGCCATTCGACCAGGATCTTGCTCGAATCACCACCCCGATCTTTTGCTTGCCCTTGTTTGCTTGCAGCCTGATACGTTTTTATACCTCCATTCTTTTCGATAGCTCGAGCAATCTCTTCTGCAGACGACAAGTCTCCCTTCTTTAGGGCTGCTGCGTGCTCCTTTTGTAAGCGGTGATGGGTGCGAATGATGGTCCGTGATCGTTCAGAAGTCATCCGCTCTTTTGGCTTGCTGATGGGTGGCCGGCCATGCGACAGAGTCTTCTGGCGCTTTTTCACAGCCATGATGGCGTTTGCGTCGCAAGTCACATGGTTCGCGTGAGGACATGCCGAAAGTTGAAGATACAGCATCTGGCGCTAGCACTAGCGCGAGTTAGCCGAGCCATCGCACCTGCCATGCCATCCACCGCAAAAATGAATTGCGACTCTCGACACTAACCTCCAGGACCACCAACACCGCCAAAATGGGACCCAAGCCAGCATCCAAGAGTATGTTCACGCCTATATTGCAGCCACGAGATCGAGAAAAGAGCACGCATACGTACACATTGCGAAGTAACGCTTGCACTCCAGCAGCGTGACCTTTGCAAAGAAACTTTGCAGATGCGCCTCGATCAGCTCCCCTCAGTTTGCGCTCAATGCTAACAATATTTGCAGCCGCCACCAAGACCGGCAAGCAGGCCAATGCCGCTGCCAAAGCGGCCCTCAAGGGCGTAAGCCTCCCCTGATCCTCTTGAGTCGTGTCAGAAATATACCTCTGACGGGCTGTACTTCTCGTGTGACGGACACAATTAACGAGATGACAGTCGTATGCGAACAAGAAGCGCGCCATCAGGAAGAGCACCAGCTTCCACCGGTATGCCCTAGAATAATGTTTTCGAGATTTGTATGCTAATAACTTTTCTTACAGCCCCAAGACCCTCGAGCTGTCCCGCGCCCCCAAGTACCCTCGCAAGTCGGTCCCCCATGCTCCTCGCATGGACGCTGAGAAGGTTCTCATCCACCCTCTCAACACCGAGTCCGCCATGAAGAAGATTGAGGAGAACAACACCCTCGTCTTCATCTGCAACGTCAAAGCCAACAAGCGCCAAATCGCCGCCGCCCTCAAGAAGCAGTACGACGTCAGCTGCGTCAAGATCAACACCCTGATCCGCCCCGACGGCTCAAAGAAGGCTTTCTGCCGCCTCACCGCCGACGTCGACGCTCTCGACATTGCGGCTACCAAGCTCGCCATTGTTTAAATGAGGCGGTGTTTGTACGAAGAGAGGGCATGGATGGTCATGATAGGGTCCTGGTTATACCCGGCAAAGGAAAAAAGCGATGTGATATGCATGGCGGGCGTTCATGGGATAAACGTAGTCAAGGTTGACTTCGAATGAAACAAATTTCCGCATGGCGCCAATACTCAACTTGGTCCTGAAACAAATATTTTTTTTTGCACTTGACAATGGTGTATGATGTTTGATGTTTGATTTTCTGAGCTGTGATGTTGCGTGTTTTTCTTTTGGCTGGTATTGAGCGGTTGTCCATTTGTTTTTATTTTTGTTTTTATTTTTTCGTTGTAGCCTCGCTCATTCAATGTGTTCATACATGCTTATCTGTCTAGCATGCCATTACAGCGCATTGCGATATCCTACAGATGATTGACGTAACAACCATATTGTATCCCCATTCATATCTCATCATGTCCTATCGTACATTGCCCCTCCCCCAATTCCCATATTTTCCCCCTACATACCTATCAATCCGTATCTCACTTTTATCCCCTCAACCTCTCCAACTCCCTCAAAACCACCAGATTCGCATCCAAAAACCGATCCACACACTGTCGCATACACGGCTCCTCGTACTTGTCCAGCTTGCCTGATTTAACAGTGCCAGTGGGGATGCACTTGCGGAAACAGGTGTCGGTTAGGGAGTGGATGGCTTTTTATGCGTTAGCGTTTTCCCATGTGCAATTGGTGATTGAGACGGGAGAGTGGGGCTGCGGGAGGGGGAGGGTAGGAGGGAAGGAAGAGAACGTACAAGATTGTATTCTAGCCTTTTGACCTTCGTTCATGGCGAATTGCTGGAGTTCTTGCTTGTCGCGGTCGGATAGCTTGGATAGGTCGAGGTTGCCGAGGCCGCTGCCGAGGGAGTCCATGGTTGATTTTTTCTTTCTTTCGTTGCTTTGGTGGTTTCGGAAAGAATGGTTTGGGGTGGTTGCGAAACGAGGGGTTTGCGCAAAGCGATTGTTTTTGCGTTTGGGTATGTAGGGTTGGTGCGTGTTTGTTTGACAGAATTTCTTGACGTACTTGATGGGGGACGTCGGCGGTTTCTGCTGGGGTTGCGCCGATTGGGGCGCGACGGGTGTTAGTCAGCGGGATGTTTACGATCTCAGATTTTTTATGTTTGGTAGAGATGAACTATTACATGGTTTTATTATTAGATCTCGGGTCTTGATTCTGATGACGGCTGGGAAATATTTGTGCGACTGATATGTGTAAACACGCATGGAGTTACATATCCGCCCAAACAACATGCTCTCTAACCATGTATCTTCCATCCTTACTTCTCATGATAACCTTTGGTCCTGCATCTACATATCCTTCTACTGAATCTGTGCTGGCGCTTCGCTTCCAGATAGGAGCTGTACCAGGGCCGGCGATATGGAATAAGAAGTACGGCCAACTACCTTCCTTCTCACTCTTGAACACTCTCACGTTGGCTATGTACTTGTTTCCTCTTAACTGTCGCTTATGCTGTATCAGGAAATACCCTGCCCATCGTCCAACCAGTGAGCCGAGTAGCACTTTTCCTTCATCCGTGTCCATGGTGAAGTCATGACCTGGCCATCCATCTGGTTCGTCTTTTGGAGGTGACAGCGTACCCAAAGCGCGCCTGACATGTTGATTGGTTTCTTTGTTGATGATCATGGCAACAAAGAGGTACTTGATATTGTCCAGGCCCTGCAAATCATGTGCTCGGTTCCAAAACGCCCATGCAATGTCAGAGACGCTACGTATAGCAGGAAGTTCTTCAGTAAGCGGCGCCCTTTTCCATAGTCTGCGCGCTGCTTTGGCGGCTGAGGAAAGTTGCATAGCATATACGGCTCCAGCCTCTGCATTAACGCCGATTGTATGCTCTGCGTTTGTGACTCTGTACTGTTTTCCACAGACTTCGTACCGCTGGTCCGCTTTTTCGGACATCTTTCCGTTGTCTCCTAACTTGACAGCTGGACCATTGGCGTGCTCAATTGCAAAACACTGGTTTGGTCCACCTTTGCCCTTGCTATTTGTTCCGATTCCGAGATCTGTAAAGGTTTTCTTGAGCATATGGCCGTTGCGGCTGTCAAAGTTGCACTCAGAGTCTGCTTGCTTGGCTAGAGCGTCGTTGTTATCGTTGTAGCCCCATTCCCGCAACCCTTCGATGAGATTACCGTCAAAGGGTGATTCCGCTGTTGTTTCTAAACCGTAGAGACTCGCTGCGTCAGCGTCACTGCTTCTCATGCCTTGGAGTAGCTTTGCGTCTCGAGCAACAGAGAGTGTCCATGGGTCGTCGGCAGCCGCATTTGTTGCCTCGGACCATCCTTCGAGAAGATTTTTGCTTGGAAGGGTCTTGTTGGCGGCGCTGGTGATGGTGCCAGAAGGGATGTCTGGGACGAGGGCATGTACAAAAGTGGCGCATATTGCACATGCAATTAGAAGGAGCGACCTCATGGAGGCGGAGCGCGATCGAGCCAAAATCAGAGAAGGGATAACTGGAGAAGAGAGTTGCTTTGCTTTGACTCGAACAATCTGGATTTATATAGTAGGCGTGAAGCGGCTTGGTGAAAAGTGAAAGCAATCTAGAGCTATGACTCTTGGATGAAAGGAAAAGTGACAGAATCAGGTAACAATCGTATATGTGAAGCCTGTGAAGCCTGTGAAACCCAACATCCAATGATGTGTCCTGTAAATTACATAGTTCATGGCTAGAAGGAAATTAGAGTAAATGCTTCAAAAACGCCAAATTCTCCCGGATATCGTGCTTCATGCATACTGAGAAAACACTGCCACGTATAGACTTTTCGCATCTCTACCCATCAACATCTTCTGTACCTATGATTCAAGAAGCTCTTTAGGTATGCAAGCAAACACAGTACTGACAACGGCCATTATGGCGCTGACAATGATCAGCACCCAGTTCATCATCTTCTCTCCACTGGATATCTCTTTTCCGAAAAGCTTCAGATGGAACATCAACGGTAGGATGATGCAAATGCTAAAGCAAGCGACACTTCCGAGAAGTGTCATGATGCGATCGAATGAGGGAAAAACAATAGCGATGAAAACAAACAAAACAATCGTAATGATGCGTAAAGAGATCTTGAAGAATCCCCGGGTGAGACCGTCCATGCCGTCCATGGAAGGTGACATGGCCAGAGATCGTGCGTCTAGGCCAAAAAGAAGCTCGAGGGTGCTTACAATGGGTCTAGAATTCAACGGGATCTTAGTCAACGGGATGATGGCAATGCAGATGGCGATGAATACTGAAATGCCCTTAGGGAACCCCTCGGTTAAGAATATGTTGCTCGTGATTTCTTCCAAGACGCCATCGCCGAACATGAGAATGCCAGCGCATGCCATTCCGACGTCGATAATGTAGGTGAAGATGTAGGTCACGTTGACAGACTTGCGGTACTTGTAGGGGTGTCGCATGTCGCGGTAAATGTTTGGAAAAACAGAATGGCCACCCCAGGGAGACATGAGAAGACCAAAGGAGAGTGGAACGGTAAGCCAGTTATCGGGGAACAGGTATTGTGTCATTGGTTGGCGAATGGAGCCGGGGGCATCTGGCTTCACAAGACCGTCGATCCAGACTGCGATGGTAACTAGCGGGTGTTAGCAAATGAGATTTAGAAATGTATAAGCATTTACTCACTTCCAAAGCAAGACATAACACCCAAGACAGATGTAAACGACAAAAAGCGGAGTGGTAGGAAGCTTAGTGGTATTAAAATCACACCACACAAGATCTTCCATTGCAAGATATCCCATCCAGGAATCAGCGCGTCCATACTATCAGCGAACAACACCACAAGTGCAACACAAGCTGCGAGTAACTCAAGGGAGAACAGCATGCTGACGGCCACTCGGGCTTTTGAGCCATATGAAACATAAGCCAAATCGGCGAAGGTGATCAAGGATCCATCGACATCGAGACACTTGGCAAGCAACTTCGCAGTGTAGGCAGTGACGACGGCTGACCAGGCAAGGAAAACCATACCAATCAGCCAACCCGAGTACTTGAAAGCCAGAGGAAGAGTGAGCAGTCCCACGCCCACCAGCACGTTGACCGAATTGAAAATGGTCTGAGGCATGGTAGATTGGCCCACAACCACGTTGATAATATGGCCATCCTCCTCGACTTGCTTGACAAGAAGTGGCTCTCGCTCCTGTTCGGGCTCTGTAGCGCCCTTGAGCTGCTGCTCGGTGAACAATCGCCCGGCATGGCGCATTGAGGACTCGTTGACGCGCGAGCTCAGACTGCCGTAGGCAGTGCCGTAGCTTGCTCCAAAGGGCGAGGATAGCGAGGGCTCGATTTGGAATATGCTAGATCCCCTTCCTCTCAGACGCTGCTCGACTGTATGGGGCAGCAGCTGGGTCTGCTCTGTGGCACCTTGCTCTTCATCTGTGACTGCATTGTCTGATGCACGCCTTCCCTCGGTCTGCAGAGCATTGCGCAGAGCTGATCGTTGGTCTGCGATGGGAGTTGGGAGGTTGCTGCGCGAAAAATCAGCCGCGTCAGTGTCGCCGTCTTCGTCGGCGCCGTCGCTATCGCCGTCGCCTTGCTCCACGCGGAACGAGGGTCGCACAGGAGTGATTTCGAAGAAGCCTGCGGCACGCTGCCATGATCGCGCGAAATTGTTGATGCTGTTTACGCCGCCAGCGTCGCCCAGTGCGCCAAACTGCTGGCCGATGGAAGATCTAAGAGACCCTGTTAGCTTCGTCACGCGCAACACCAAGATCGGGAGCCATGCTCACCGCCGTCGCCGCAATTCAGTCGCTGCTCCTGACCAGCGGCCTCCGTTTGTCGCGTTGCTCTCGCCACTGGGGCGCCTCTCGAGGCGGTCCCACTGCACACGGCTGCCCGTATCCGAGTCGATTGAGGCCCTGGCGGAGCCATCGTAGTCGTCCCAAGTCGAGGGCTGTTTTCCTCTGATGTCCATGGTGAGTGCCGGCAATGACGGGAAGAAGAACACACGACCAAGGGGCGCAAGTGGAGCACGAGGCTTGATATAAAAAACTGGTTTGATTGAAACCCTGCAGGGGCGGGAACTACTGGATCAACACCTGGCTATCGTCGGGTTGAGATTGCACCCTGTGGATGCAGTAGATAACCACGACGGAGCCATGACGGATGGCATTATATAAAGAAGCGCCGACCAAGGCATGGAGCCCTGGTGCGCAGCATCGAAAGACGCAGAAAACCAGGAGCCATGGATCGCTATCACGAGGGGACCCATGGCCCCCGCACCGTAGCCGTCATAGGGGAGCTATGGCTGATAACGCGGATGCCGGCAGCCTCGCGCCCGCTGCCCGCTGGTTGGTCAGCTAACCGAGCCAATGAGCGTCGCCATGCCCATTGTGCGCTGCCTATGTGTACTCTATACTACGTATATGGATGAGTCTGTGGTGCGTGTGTATGTGTGTGTGTGCCTGATGATGATGCCAGACCAGATCTGCGGCCCGTTGTGAACACACAGTCAGCCCAAGACGCAAATCTTTTCCTTCACCCACGCCCGTCGGCTGCAAACACCCCCCTTCTGCTGCCGTCTGCACTCTGCGAACGCGTGCTTGCAGTCGCCGTGCGTGCCCCTACGTCGTCGCTTGCTGGCCTGCTCGCCTGCCCCTCGCCCTTGGAGAAAATCTCTCGACCCCACCCCTCCCTCTCCAGCACAACCACCAACCCACCGCGACCATGTCCGGGAAGAACGAGCAGCCCAACGAGGCCGAGAAGAACATTGAGATCTGGAAGGTCAAGAAGCTCATCAAGCGTCTCGAGGCCGCCCGCGGAAATGGCACATCCATGATTTCGCTCATCATCCGTATGTCACCACCGCGCAGCAGCCTACCCGCCCACCGACTGACCATCCAAAGCCCCTAAGGATCAGATTTCACGCGCCGCCAAAATGTTGGCTGAAGAGTTTGTACGTCTACCACCTGATCTTGCGCGATTTGTGTCCAACAACTAACGTTTGCGCGCTCAGGGCACTGCCTCCAACATCAAATCCCGCGTCAACCGTCTCTCAGTCCTGTCCGCCATCACATCCACCCAGCAGCGTCTGAAGCTCTACTCCAAGGTCCCTCCCAATGGCCTCGTTGTCTACTGCGGTGAAATCATCACCGCTGAAGGCAAGGAGCGCAAGATCAACATTGACTTTGAGCCCTTCAAGCCCATCAACACCTCGTTATACCTGTGTGACAACAAGTTCCATACCGAGGCCCTGAGCGAACTGCTCGAGTCTGACCAAAAGTTTGGTTTCATCATCATGGACGGAAACGGTGCCCTTTTCGGTACTCTGTCAGGAAACACGCGTGAGATTGTCCACAAGTGAGCCTGACATACACCCCCAGCCATGTTGCCATACTAACGCCACCAGGTTCTCGGTCGACCTTCCTAAGAAGCACGGTCGTGGTGGTCAGTCTGCTCTGCGTTTCGCCCGTCTGCGTGAAGAAAAGCGCCACAACTACGTCCGCAAGGTCGCCGAATTGGCTGTCCAGAACTTCATCACCGCTGACAAGGTCAACGTTGCTGGAATCATTCTCGCTGGTTCTGCCGACTTCAAGAACGACCTCAACCAGTCCGACCTTTTCGACAACCGTCTGCAGTCCAAGGTCATCAAGGTTGTCGACGTGTCCTACGGAGGCGAAAACGGTTTCAACCAGGCTATTGAACTCGCAGGCGAGACTCTGAGCAACGTCAAGTTCATTCAAGAAAAGAAGCTCATCAACGAGTACTTTGACCACATCTCCAAGGACTCTGGAAAGGTCTGCTACGGTATCGATGATACCCTGAAGGCCCTCGAGGCTGGTGCGGCCGAGACTCTGATTGTCTTTGAAAACTTGGAAATCACTCGATGGGTTCTCAAGAGCTCTGCCGGTGCCGAGATCATTCTCCACACTACAAAGCTCCAAGAAGAAGACCGAAGCATCTTCATGGACAAGGAAACCGGACAAGAGATGGAAGTCATTGATCAGGGTTCCATGCTCGAGTGGCTTGCCGAAAAGTACCGCGACTTTGGTGCCAACCTCGAATTCGTCTCGGACCGTTCTTCCGAGGGTAACCAGTTCGTCAAGGGCTTTGGTGGTATCGGTGCCATCCTGCGTTATGCCCTCAACTTTGAACAGCTCGTCGAGGTCGACGACGATGAAGACGAGTTCTACGATGATTGACGGTTGTGCGCCCTCGCTGACTGCGAGGTAGCGTCTCCACTCGTGTCGAGTGAAGGAACGTCCGCTACCCGCGCGAAAAGTCTAAATGACGTATCCGGAGTCAAGGCCAGAGTAGTCGAAGCAACGACGCTTCGCCTCTCCAGGTTGTAAGATGGGAGTGCCTACGGAGGGTTTGCAATGTATGTTCAAGTTGTGCTTGTCCATGTATTGCCGCTAATAGTGTGCAGGTCGATCAATACCCATTCTTACCACGACCCGCTCTCGCTTGCACGGAGAGGCAGCAGTCTGATCCAAGGCTCAGTCTCTTCAAAAACCCGGTCCGAGAAGCTCTATCTCAGCTGTTGTCAGGACTAGAAATGAGTGGGGTTCTGAAGAATGGTTATTGTCTTTGATTGGCTGCGACACTCTCCAAAGGGGGAGGAAAGGAAGGAACAGAAAGATTGCTCGCCCATATATGCGTCAGCTCGTCGCTCTCTCAAATTTAGCTGAATTAGAAAAGTGACTTTGACGCGTTGTCCTGTTTTGGTTTTGGTGACTAACTCGATTGTGTTGGTTTGAATCAGGAGTATGACGTAGTGTTACGCCCTGTATGTATAGTCCGCCGTGTTATGTGGGCGCCCTGCATGTAGAGTACTGTCGTTGTCCTGGCGCCCTATGCGTACTTTGATGTTGCCTGAGCACAAGTACCGTTTGGACGAGTCTTGCGCTAGCGCCGATACCGGGGTTCCGACCTTTGTTCCGAGAGAATACATAGTTGATTATTACCCTTGGTTCGGTGGAATTAGCCATCTACATACACTCTTTGTACCTGCCAACAGCTAAATATGACGGGCGTAGAGGAGAAACCAGTTGTGGCCTACCTGGGACCAGAGGGTAGTTATACTCATCAGGTAAGTTGAAATGTTCTTAGATGTTGTTGTTATTGTTGTGTTGATGGATGTTTTTTTTTCTTCGACTTTCATTATGACTGGTATAGTCTAATCTCTGTGGTTCACGCTTTCTACTTTATTTCGTGTCCTCAAATTTTTATTTTTTTTCGATTTTCGATTTTCGAATAAAAAGAGGTGGAAAGGGAGTTGTATGATTGACTAGACATACTCTATGTTCCTTGTTCACCTTTCCTTTACATCTCTCATTTCATTCTTCAATATCTCCTCTCTCTCTCTCTCTCCACTTTCCAATCTCCAATTTCTTCAACCTTGTTTTTACTTTTTCAAAAACACTCATAAAAGTCGCCAAACCAACCCATACCATCAGGCCGCCCTCTCCACCTTCCCCCCTCAGGACCCTCCAACAACAACCCTCACTCCCCTCATCACAATCCAAGACGTCTTCTCTGCCGTACAATCCGGCACAGCATACCGAGGCGTCGTTCCCTTTGAAAACAGCTCCAACGGCTCCGTCCTCTTCACCCTCGATCTCTTCGCGGACCTCGAGGGAAAACACGCTGATATCCTCGTTTGCGACGAAGCGTACGTAGCGGTACGGCACTGTCTTCTCGGCCGTCCTTCCCCTACTTCAACCTCCACGGACACTTCCACCGGCGCAGATAAAGACTTGTCACATATCAAACGCATCTACTCTCACCCGCAAGCCTGGGGCCAATGCAAAAACTTCCTCACCACGCACTTTCGCAACGTCGAGAAGATCGACGTAAGCTCCACGTCGCGCGCTGCGCAAATCGCAGCCCAAGATGAGACGGGCACGTCGGCCGCGCTGTCGAGTCCCGTTGCAGCGGGCATTTTTGGGCTGCAAGTGCTGGCCGAGGGGGTGAATGATCGGTTGGGGAATACGACTAGGTTTCTTGTCCTCCGTCATGGTTCGTCTTCTTCTGCTCAGCAAATGCCTGGGCTTGTGCAAGCCAAGGACCAAGGGGATACGGAGATGAAGAGTAAAGATGAGCATTGGAAATCCCTAGTCACATTCACAGTCCAGCACTCGAACCCCGGTGCGTTGGCGAATTGTCTGACGGCGTTTTCAGCGCAGGGGATTAATCTTACGTCGATTAATACTCGGCCGAGTGGGGATAGGAATTGGCATTATGTGTTTTTTGTCGAGTTAAAGGGGAGGAGTAGGCGGGATGAGGGAGATGGTGGTGAGGGAGAGCAAAGGGGGGCGGTGGATAGAGCGTTGGAGGGGTTGGGCAAGGTGTGTAGTGGATATCGGTGGTTGGGGAGTTGGGAGAATAGGCTTGATGATGATGAGAAGAAGGAGGAGGAGGATGGGGGGAGTGGGTGATGGTTTGGCAGAGAGTAGAAAAACGGCTGGCAGAAGGGAAGGCAGGTAGAATCACGCCTGGGGGCTGTCAAGATATGGCAAGCTACAATCTCACATCTCCCCCACTTAAGATTCTTTATTCATCATACTATGGCAAGGCATACTTTGCCAGTCTTTCAGTGCCATGTGAACCCATCAATTCATCACTCCACGTCCTTGGACCTTTCTTCTCCAACGCTCTCTACCCGAACAAACCTCCAGTCTATTTCGTCCGGTCCGGAAGAGCCTTATCCTCCTTAGGCGCCTTCCACTCCTTAACAAACGGCAAGAAGTCAGGTTGACCAGGAATATATTTCCTCAGAACCTCCGGAACCACGAAACCCTCTGGAGTCTGGTAGTTCTCAAGGATACAGCAAAGAGTTCGCTCAGTAGCGCAAACTAAACACGATTTAATCAGTACTCAACCTCCCCATGACCAACACAGAAGAAGAAAAAGAAGAACTTACGAGTACCATTAAGTGCATGAACATATTCCTTGCGAGTCGCATTCAGCTTCTTGATACCGTGCCTAATCTCGAGTTCACGAGTTTGGTAGTCAGTGCAGTTGGAAATGGAGACGAGCTCCTTGTACTCTCCTCCGCCAGTGACAGGGAACCAGGCCTCGAGATCGCGCTTCATCGAGGCGGCGTTGTTCAGGGCTCCGGAAACAATGGCGACTACCTGGTAAGGCAGACCAAGGCTCTGGTAGAACTCTTCCGAATTGGCAAGCATCTCGTCAAAGGCCTCCCATGACTTTTCGGGGTGTGTGAGAAGGAACTGCTCGACCTTTTCGAACTGGTGTATCCGGAAGATACCCCAGGCGTCCTTGCCGTGAGATCCGGCCTCTTTTCGGAAGTTTGTAGAGTATCCGGCGTACTTGATGGGCAGTTGGTCGCTGTGTAGCCACTCTTCTGAGTGAAGAGCGGAAATGGGCTGTTCTGAAGTGGCAATGAGGTACTTGTCGGTTTCGGGCTTGTCTTTGCTCTCGGTAACCTTGTAGAGTTCCTCGTCGAAGTCGGAAAGTTGTGCTGTCTTGGCCATTTGGTCCCGGAGCATGAAGAAGGGTGGTTGGTTAGGGGTAAAGCCTTTGCTGAACTGAGACGGTGATTGTCAGTATTTATAGTTTCAAGTAACATTTCTGAATACCTACCAGGAACTCTAGACCGTAGTTGATCAGTGCTTGGTTGAGGAAGACACCGTAACCAATCAGGCACTAAACGCAATCAGATTAGTAGGTGCTCCATGTTATTTCGTATCCAAGGCGATTATTCAAGGCAGCGCCTGCATGCTTTTTGATAAAAGCGTAGTCGGTTGTGTGCAATGGTAGTTGCAGATGTGGAGTTCACGTACTACACAAAAGTTAGTCCGAGACTCCATACACCATAACATGCAATCCTCAACAAGCGCACTGCGCATCGCCAAAACATGAACACAAAGAAACATATTCTGGGGCGCACTTACCATATCCTCTATGACCGACAATCTTGGTACCGCGCTCGGGATCGTATCTATCTCAAACCTCAGCACTCACTCAACCCAACTCCAATATACCAGAATCCACGCACCCATTCAACCTAGCCAAGACCCCATGATGCGGTATGCCCTCCTTATTAAACTCGGCCTTCCTCGACTCAGGCGCCCAAGTCTTAAGCACCGCGTTGTTATCCTCATTGTCGCTAACAGGGACATCCTTGTACACGTAGTTGCCGACCGACTTTGCTTTGGCATGCAACTTGACGAGTTTGGCATGCGCCTCTGCTTCCTGCTTCTTCTTGGACTCTTCAAGCTGCTTCTTCTCTTCGAGCAGGTCGTCTGCGTTTTCCTTTGCCTTCTTCTTGGCGCCGATTTGCTTTTGGATGGCGTTGATCTTGGAGCCGATTTGCGTGGCGTCGTATTGTGTGCGGCGGTGGTCTGTTTTCGTAAAAGTCCAATGGTTAGAAAATATGAGCTTTTTGTGTGTGTATGTGTGTGTGTATGTGTATTAGGCTCAGGGTGCTTGGTTCTTGCCTTCAAAATCGGCTATGATCTCATCTACTATTTCGATGGGGGCGTGGCGCTTCTTCTGGGAGTCGCGGATTTTCTGGGTTGTGGGAATTAGCAATTGCGAAATTGTGTTGTCGCGCGAGCATTGTTCGAAGGGAATACGCACTTCTGGGTCGCCACCGCGCTCCTTGATGAAGTCGTTTCTGTAGTGGAGAATCGGGTTAGTTAGAGGTCCTCTGTAAAATCGCAAGTCTGCGCCATTGTCTGATTTGTATCGGCCATGCTCTCTCCCTCTCTCCCACTGTCAATGTGCAAGCCCCTCCAACCTCTCCAGAGAAGCATCTGCCGCACATTTACCCCAACGCAAAAAAATACAAAAACAAGAAATAAAAAACATGACATACAAGTCCAGCATCTTGTCTCACAGTCTCAGTGTGTAGTGCGGAAAAAGAGGACAAGCAATGGCGCGTAGGCGTGGTCAGTTTGGTGTCAAAAGCCAGTGAGCGACTCATCAAGTTGTGTCCCGCACCACAACCGCCGGTTGCAGGGATCAGAAGGCCGCCCCGCACTAGACCTTTTTACTCGCACCCAAGGGCAGCAGCCAGGTCCAAGGGGGACCAATTTGCCACTAACCACAAACGCACCGGGGGAACCTTTTCTCTAAGAGCCCAGCAATCAACGGCAGTGGTGGTAAATTACTGCTTGGGGGAAAAAAAAGTTGCTGTCGGTGCCGGGGAGCTAATTAAGAATGGGCCGGCAGAGGAAGGGTTAGTTGTAAGTATGCATGCTTAGGGCGGTGAGGGATGGCAGTGGTAGTGTCCAAGTAGTGTGTACTGTGTAGTAGCAAATGCACGGCAGCTGAGGCAGCTGAGGCCGCACAGATGTCTACGGTTCCAAACTACCAAATCGAGTAGGCGTTCTCCAAAAGACTGTGGAAAACAGTGGCTTTTCTGTCAAAGCTTTAGAGCTGCCTAAACGAGTTTTGTGGGTTGGCTTGGGGGGTGGTCGGTGCATGGCATGGGCAAAGGGCTGGCAAGCAAGGCATGTGCGTGTGCGTGTGCGTGTGCGTGCACGGTGGAGCTGCTGGAGAGCGAGAAGGCAGGCCAGACAGCAGACAGCGGACAGCGGACAGCGGACAGCGGACAGCGGACAGCGGAGGGGTAAGCGGCAGCCATGCCAGACTAACACCAGACAGCCATGGCACATGTTCCCGTGTTAGATGTCAGCACAAGTCCTTTGCATACTGCACCGTCGAGTCTTGGAAAATAACGTGGAGCATTACAGTAGCTACGACAGCCGTGACATGCCGTCATGGAGCAACACGGATAGTCCAAATACCAGATACAACGCCGAGTTCACCCACCCCGCCTCCTCCATTAATACGCCGGTACGCACCTCGCCTCTCATGGCCAACATAAGAGTCGTGTCCGCATAAACAAATGTCATGACTGCCTCAAAACAGACCGCCCCGTCTATGTCGTCTAAGAAACCAAAGCAAAAAGAAAATGGCACATAGCCCCGCCCTAGTCTTTCTTCACCAAGAGCGTCTTCAGATGCTTCACCGGATGCTTCACCATGTCCTTTCGCTTCTGTCGTCTCTTGTCCCGCTCGTCCCGTTCTTGCTGCAACGCTTTGTACTTGTCCACTCCGACGCCTTCAAGGGAGGGGAGACGCGCTCATGTCAGTCAACACTGCTCAGTTACATGACTGAACACTTGCTGCCGCCTGCAGGCTCACCCGGGTTCTGAGATCTCTCCACCTCAGCAACCATGAGCTCAAACGCCTTTTGCACATTCTCGTTGTAGCGGGCGCTGGCTTCGGTCCACGCGCACTTGAACTCGGCGGCGAGCGCGCGGCCGTCTTCGGGAGTGACTTGGCGTTGTTCGGGGCGAAGGTCGGACTTGTTACCTACAATGACCAGGGGAACCCATTCGACGGCCTGGCGTGGCAAGGTGGTCAGCTTCCATGTCTTTGTAACAATGGCCCATTGTATGTATCCACCGGTACTTACCAGGTGGTTCAGAATCTTATCCCGGATGATGCGTGCCATTTCAAAGCTCTGCTTGCTGGCGACCGAGTAGACAATCATGTAGCCGTGGATGCCGATGAAATGCTTCGAGTTAAGAATGCTGTATTCATCCTGAACAGTAGCAGCCGAGTCAGTCGAGTTTTCTTGTTCTTGTCCATGTTCATATATAGTAGTGCGTGGCTCCAGTGGCAGTGGTAGCGGCCTTGGATGCAAGCAATGCGCGTCCCAGGCTCAGTCGCGGCGCACGAAGCACCGGCAGAGTGGGGTGTGGAGGTGGGCTGGGCAGGGCAGGGCGACGCGGGGAGAAAAGAAAACCTCAAAGTACCTGTCCGGCTGTGTCGATAATCTCCGTGGCATAGTCTTGGTTCTTGTACTTGATCATCTTGCTAAACGTGTTCTCAATGGTAGGATAGTAGCTGTCTACAAAGTGGCCGTCGACAAACTGCACCGTCATACTCGACTTGCCTGTGGTGGTTGTCAGTATACTGCGTGCTGCGTGTTGCGGCTTGCATGTGAAGGTTGCGCACGCCACGCGCCTCGACGTACCGACTGCCCTGCTGCCGACGATGGCAATCTTTCTCTGCTTGGGCGGGGCCATGGTGTTGCGAAGGCGAAGGGTAGTTGACGAGGGCGTAGGGATGGCCACGGGCTGGCCAGGGTGAAAGTATGTATGGCCGTCTCTCGAGTCCAGCTATGGGGAGTAGCTGCCTAAGTTGCGTTTTGGTGGTTCGGGCCTGCCAATTGCCTGGAAGAGCTAGCGCCGGGATGACGCCGTCGAGCTGCAGCTGATGTGTGTGTGTGTGAGTGTGTGTCTCTGAATGTATGGGGCAAGAGAGTTGCTGTGCTGGCCTGCGCAATGTCACCCGCAGTGTTGTCGTTTGGCACCGCCAGAGAGAGCTTTTGAGGAAAAAATATCCAGCCAGACCCCATGGCCGGGCTGGTCGTCTGCATTTAGCAGCAGCAGATGCAG